GCTGGCTCCGGAGCATCTTTGATCCATGACCCATGAGGTCCTCACCGAAGCTCAGACTCTAAGACAGTTGACCACTCTCCGCAACCGTCTCCGGACTTGTGGGAGATACTCCAAATGATCTTGAAGACACATCCACAAGCGTAGCTCCACCTTGCGCAATGAAAACACCACAGCCTAATCTCCCAAGTCCAGGCCGGAGGAAAGGGTTGTTTGACGCCGGAAAACTCAACCGAAGCATTGCTGGTGGCGGTACCATCTTCTGAGCAATCTTTCTCGTAATACCTGGTAATACACACATGTGCCATCCAATGAAAAGCGTGTGGGGTTACTTGACATGAGCACTCTAGATACATAAATTCGACGTTCTTGCAGAGAAGGAAGAACACATTTTAATTGATTGTGTAATTCCAGAAACCCATGTCGCTCCAAAACCAAATGCTTCATGAGATAAAGCACATGATGCCAACACTGACTACGAATTTCCCAACTACCGTGTTATAACTCAAGTGCATTCTTTGGGTGCAGTGCAAAGGTTCCGACGCTAGAGCTGACACGAAGGCGGATAAAATATTTGCCCGATCGTGTCAGCCTTGATGTAGGGGCTCAAATTAAGGCCGTAACTACCAGGGATTATAGGCGGCTGCTCGTTCTGTTATCTTCAAATTGAAGGGTCAAATTTTCCATCGATAATGGTCATCGCCGTCCCCTACTCTTGACGCGTGTGGTGTTTAGACATCTCCCTGAATCTTCCGCGCTCCCACAATCTAGTTATTAATCGGCGCCCCTATGTTAATCATGAGTCTCCTATCCATTTCGTTGCCTTTTGCATTCAGACCACAGCAGACCACATAATCCTCTTCTGCAATAAACTCTTTACAATGATAAAATTGATTTTCAAATGGTAAACAACCTTTGACAATTGGATGACCAATGCAGTCCACGGTTGTTAGGTTTGCAAGCCACATAACATTGAATTTGGCAAGCCAGAAAACTCAAGAAATGAGGCAAGTCACTTAAAAAAGGACACTTGGACTATTTCAAGAAGATATTATTGACTACAGTTGCACGCGGCATCTTGCTGTACACAACTCTAGGGGAGTCCAAATGGTCAACACCAAATGTAGGTTTTTTTGAATTTTTGGGTTGACTTGGGGAGTGATTAGACATTATATTGGAACCCCAAGTGTGCATTTTTATGGTTTAATCACATTTGCAAGGGATTACATCCCATGTATATGTGGTGGAGTGTCATCCTACCTCATTTAAATGCATTTTTTAGGTGATGGTTCTGAATGAACCATTTGAAAAATAAAAAAATATGTGAATGAATAGACTAAAAGTTTGTATTTCATAAGTACCAGCCAAGAAATACAAAGAAGAAAGAAGAAAATAAAGAAAGAAGATAGTCACCTAATAGCAGTAGATGGCTAAATAAATGTTAAAAATTGAGCTAAAAGCCAGAAAAAAGTACTTTTATATTCTTGCTGAGAGGGCTCAAGTGCTCGAAGACTAAGACTGAAGAAGGGCTCAAGTGCTCCTTCAGGAACAATCTAAAAAGAATGAAGAACCAATAAGATTTTAATTTCTTTATCATCTAGAGAATTTAAGTAGTCTAGATACAGCATGGTCAAAATATGGGAGCACCATATTGAATAAGAAACAAAATATTGACAATGAATAAAACGAAGTGGAAAAGAGTGACATGTCAAAAGTGGTGAGAGCTCGAGTGAAATTTCAACAATAAATAGGACAACAATATATCTTGATATGACAATGAGAGAAAGATAGAAGAGAAAGCTAACAAAAGAAAGTGGATCAATATCAGGACACTAGTGAGAAAAAGACCGACAAGTACCTACAATGATTGAGGACAGTAGAAGAGGAGAAGTGTTGTAATTTTGTCTCTCTCTCTCTCCTCATCCCTAAAAATCCTTTTTGTTTATTCTTATAATTGACATTGATTAAATAATAGAATACAAATTATTATACAATTGTTGTTAGTTTCTGCGTGGTATCTTGTCCTGTTGTCTAGTGCTGCAATCCTTGTAGTCTTCAAACCCTGGTCTAGTCTTTATCAATAGTCATTTACTCCAGTCATCTATTCAAGAATTTGTTGATTTTTGTTATTCATTATGATATCCATTTTTCTCTCAGAACCACAGATTGAACTTGATGTACAATGTCTATTTAACGTGTAGGCTCTACTAAGCAAATAAAAATCATTGGCTCTTTCTCTCTTTTTCCAATCCTTGAGCCTCTCCAACAAAAACTTTTTTTGTTGCCCAAAAATTCTCTTCATCCCTGGTTAAATTTTCATCAAGAAGTGGTCGGCAGAGTTTTCAAATGGAAGGGATCAATTTGATGCAAAGATCAAAGAGGATGAATGATGAGGGTAGGAGGAAGTCGTTTGATACAAGGATCAAAGAGATGATTGATGATGAGGGTCGTGATGTAATGTTCATCTTTTGAGAGAATAGGACGAGTGATGATTTGGGATAATTAGGATGAGTGATGATTTGGGATAATTAGGAAAAGTGATGATTTGGGATAAGAATGACGCGGTCAATTAAGAAGATTGACTGTGGAGGAATGAATTGGAAGGAGTCCTGGAGAGAAGAATAATCGTCAAAAGAGAAGGGATGATAAAGGAAAGTGGGAATGTGCAATAGCGATGTCAAAGAAGAATGAGAAGGTCCAAGTGCAATGATGTCATTGTATAAGCTTGATGGATTTCAGAGTTCAGGCCCCATGATGTCATGAATATTTTCATCTTGGGTAATCAGGTGGTCTAGAGCCTTTAGAGAATGTGTGAGCTGAATCTTAGACCTCAACACAATGTACTGGCCAGCAGTTCCAATGGGACCTGACTGGCCCCCATGGAGGGAGCTCTGCTGTGGCCAGGTCATGGGCCGGCATGTGGATAGAGGTTGGTGGACTGAACTTTTCATCAGTATTCCAATGGTGTTACTCTCATCACCTGAAAATGAGTGAAAAAATAGATAGCTGATTTGTGTGGAGGTCATCCATAAATACATGGACCTGTATTCTTCCAAACTTCCAATTATAGTCCGCAGTTTTTTATTTTTTATTTTATTTTCTGAATTTAGAGCCTGCAAGCTTTCTTTTTATAGCTGTACATGGTCTTGTGAAGCCCTCACCACTCATGTTTTTCAAAAAACCAAACCAAATCAATTACATAAGCAGAAGATTCACCCATTAGTTATTCTGTACATCATTCCCCCCTCTCCTAGCTTGGTAGAGAGCCCAAACCACATTTCTTTCTACAAAGATAGGTAGGTTTCTCATCTTCTTTCATTAACTGTCTCTTCTTCAAATGTTCTCTTTCATTTTTCTATACTCTCTTTGTTATCTTGATTCAGTTTTACTTATGGGGAGAGAACCCAAACCACAGTTCTTTCTACTGATATAGTTCCTTTATCTTTGAAATCTATACACAGGTTCTAGAAGAATCTGGTTTTCTCCAGGCACCCGGCCTGATATTTGTTGGATTACTATAGTGCCAGTGAAGATTTGGCACAACTCTTACAGGTCTGTAGATGCCAAAAATGTGGTCTTGATGATGTTTGGCCCCCCGGATCAAGCACTATTTTCCCCGGAGTGAGGCAATTAGTGTTTGCAGTAGATATGGTTGCTGCAAATCTGGATATCCCCATGGTTTTTTAGCAGGATTGGTCAAAGGGTTTCCTTCCAGTCGGCAAGGTTGTTGAGTTTTTCAGCTCTCTGGTCTACTCTTCCCCAGAATCACTCCTTTCTTCACCCCTCCCGGCGGCATGGGCTCTCTAGGCCGAGGTTGGCACCGGGTATCCCTTGGGATACCCGGATATCCGCCAGGATTTTGGGGGGAAAACGACATCCGCACCCAAATCCACACCCACTGGCATCCGCAGCGGATTATCCGCGACCATCTCTAACTACAAGTACACCACTACTCCACAATTGCACATACAGCACTCCTCCTCCATACCAACAATTTCTAGTTCAGCCCCCTGTAGCACACAAAGGGGCTAGTTGGATTGCAGTAGTACTGGAGCTACACTGGAGTTGCAATCAATGCTACATAATTCCACCAGTCATCTGGTGAGCATTCTTCTTTCCTGGTGTACATTGTAACATGAAATTTCTAACTATCCATCATTTGAGTCAGCAGGTGGAAATTGTAACAGATAGTAACTGAAATGTGGCTGGATCATTGAAATGTGGCTGGATCAGAGACAACAGTGTTAGAACTGACATTCTCCACAATCTGTCTCCTGGTGCATACAGTTGCCTGCTTAGGCACATTGATGTGGTTTTGTAATTGATGAAGGAAATTGATGCTTATGAAATCAATCACGTGATTTTTGAGAAGATATGATGAGGCATGAACTAATTCACAAGAAACCGACAACCCAAGCTGCTTGAATTATCCACAAGAAAGAAAGTATGGAACGAACGACCAGCCTACATCGTCATAATTGACGATGCTTCTAACGCACAATTTCCTTTAATTTTACAATGTGGGGCAATTGACCTGCAATGAAGAGAAATTTTGCCTCTGGGAATGAGTCGCTTTCACTTTGAAATCTTCGAGAAAATTCATAATTAATGTCTCTCACCAATCCAAAACTGAACCCTGCGTTTCTGTAATTCAGTGCGAGATGTTCGCATATCATCAACAAACACCTTGCCGCCGCTCTCTATGAAAAACTTCATGGGAGAAGCTGAAGGCGCGTAATTTGGCCAGCTAGGATCTATGAAGCAGTCGGGAGATTCAGTTAAAGATCAAAAATCTCAAATTCAAAATTTGTTCACCTGGACACCCTGTTTGCGCAAAGTCAGCCCACATGCGTCCCAAGACTGCAGAGGTTTTCGCCTGGTCCGAATTCGAGTCCCATAGTGTTTTTATATTGAAAATCAACGGCAAGTCAATTGTATGGCTACGAAGTACTCATTATCAGCTCGAAGTGGACATTGGTCGGATGGCTTGAATGCAGAAAGCCTTACAATGCTCCCCAATCTAATCCACGATCGATCGATGGAAGATTTTCATTTAATTGATAGAAAAAAAGTTTGCACGGCTCTCCGGTCACGTGGTGCTTAACCTCGTCAAATGACATGGCCAAATTTTCCATCGGGCTTTCGCATAATTGATCAGCAATCAACCGCGAGCCGGCGCAATTTTTCCAGTCGGTCGTCAAAGGTGTCTGGGTCTCAAGATCTTCAGGCGGAGGGTATAATTTTTCAATCTTGTTTTGAGGTGAGAACGGGCACCGCTTTCTCAGCACGTGTTCGTAACCTTCTTTGGTCGTAGTTTGGAAGAAGAAAGCAAAGATGCTACCCTCATCTTTAGTGTGTCCCATCAATAACGACTTGAGATGCGGGTTCCACTTCCTTTCCTTGATCAATTCGATGGCGGGCTTTGTCCAGATTGACGACTTTACGGACTCCTCAATTGTCAGACCATAATCGTTAACAACAGCCCCGCGTGCCGAAACAAATTCCATAATTTTCGAGGTTGGAATTTCCTTTAATAATTTTATTCGCTGTTCACTCGCCAGACCATGAGGGATATTGAAGTGCTGTAACAGACTTTCGAAATACTCTCGGTTTATACTAGAGTCTACGCTACGGTGTGTCTGTCAAATTTGGACATTTAAGCTTCTGATAACGCATTCCCCTGAATACATCAAGACGTTTGAAGCTCACTAGCGTTTCTGGAGCACCCGATTGCAAAATAGCCTGTTTGAAGAGTTTTTGCTGGGTAACGAGCAACGCGCCAACGAGGAAAGCGCCTAAAATGGGCCATCAACGTCAAGCAAGTTTGATGTGAAAACTGAATGTTATGAAACTTACCCGCAGACTCCCCAAAGATGGTGACATTATCAGGATTCCCCCCAAAAGCTCGAATGTTATCTTGAACCTAACAAGCCGTGGAACAATGAAGATAGCTAGTTAACAAATTTCCAGCTCTCAAATATACTAACAAAGGAGACCCACCCATTGAAGCATTGCAATGCAATCATAAGCTCCTTTAGTAGTAATTCAATATCAGAACGATCCTTTCCATAGAGTTGCAACAACTGAGCCTGACCATAATTTCCCGCCAAATCCTCTGAATCGTCTTCGACTAAATCTTGACAAGCCATGAAACCAAAGATCCCGCATCGATAATTCCCAGTAACCACAATAAAATTTCTCCCCTCGTGCGATTCCCGGCGGATCCATTCGGTAGGGTCGTAAATTGCTGAATCAGAACTGCCGCCTTCGAGAGAGCCACCACTGTCGTTGGATTGCACTCAATTCAAGCAATGTTCTCCAGGTTACGCTTTTTAGAGACCTTTGACTCACTATATCCACACCTTCAGAGTGTGGGATCCAGGGAAAGAAACAAATACAAAATTTGTCAGCATAGTGCTTCCGTCTGTCTTTCCAGTTGCGCAGGTTAAAAAAAGAGGTACATACCAAGACAGGTAGTTCTCCGGTAACTTGCGAAGACTTCGGGGCGAAAACGTTTAGATTGAACCCAAGCTCTTCACTCTCGGGAGGAGAATGCTGATTTTGATTGAAACCTTCCTTGCGGCTGAAGATCAGGTCGGTAAGGTTGAGGGCCTGTGGAAATCGAGGTCTAGGTTTCCCTTGATTTGGGTATTAGACAACTCTCTTTGATAAAGTATGATTCTTACAAGTTTGTGCTGACCCAAATTTAGTGCACTGCAGCGGTGCCGCCCAAGGTGTGGGGGAGCGGGGTCTCTGCCAACGCCCGGCTCGTGCATAAGGAATTCCCTGGAGGATCAATGTAATTTCCATGTCATTCATTTATAATCGGATAAGGTGGGAAGAGGGGACATGGAAAATTGTGTAAGAATTACAACAAGAATCTCAACACACAAGCCATTTTGATACCGGCGCTTCGCCACCATCCGACTGCTCATGGGGGCAGGAGTCACTTTGAACAGTGGGAAAGGGATCATCGAATCCAGCGACCGGGCCGTAGAGTGTCTTGATCGCGGCCATCTGTAGCTCCTCTGAATCAAGGAAATCAGCAGGAACCAAAGCTGGAATGGGCGTTAAAAGTGTGAGAACGTATAAGGCGACCGAATTTCGGAGTAGAGAACGCTGAAGATTGATGAGGGGAACGACAAGAATGACAGGTCGGAGGAAGACCTGCGAACTGGGAGCCTGAACCCAGTATATGTATCAAAATATTATCGACTTCAGGTCGCAGGGCAGAGTATGTTACAGTCCACAGATCTCGCTGAGTTTAATTTGTGGCCGGCGGCAAAAGCGTCATTACATCGGGCGATGGTTGATCGCCATGTTTGATGTTACACCAGGTTACACCCTCGACGCCAAATGAACACTTTCATTTATTAACCCACATGTAAATACATACAGCTCACTCACTTCTGCCAAACTCCGATGCCTCCCCAATACATAGTGGTGCTGTGGAGGCAAACATGATATTGCCTGCCGTTGCACAAATTACAACTGAGCTGAGTGGGGATGTAATTAGGTTTAGGACATAAGGAGAAACTTTGGAAATCCAATAGTATTTTTTTTTCTGAAACTCTTTCTGGTAATTCTAGATCATCATTGTATTTTTTTCCCTCCAGCTAGCTAGTGAAACAATTCTGGGATTTGTTTGAAAAGACGGTCCCTTGGGAAATAAAGCACCTGCTGCAGATTGAAAATCATGTTTTGAATACAGGTTTGCACATCTTATGCAGTCATGAATTTTTGATCACATGGGAGCACATTAAGAGGCTAGGAAATGGGGCGGTTTGAGGAGACAAGAAATCAGCAAGAACAGCTATCACACATTTTGGTTGTCAATAAAAGCAGGATTGGAGGACTTCCCTGCCCGTCACCATTTAGAATTTTAGAGTGCTTTTTAAGCCCTCCCAAGTCCTAAATTAACACCCCAATCATAGTTTCAACCATGTCACATGAGACTTGTTTCTACAAGGCTTGTAAAAATTATTTCCTGGTCAAAAATTGAGTTGCGAGGGTTCTAGATTGTGACCGAAAGTCAACCATTGAAGAATCTAATAGGACATATGTTACTCATGATGGCAAGGACTGCTCTAGTGGTTGAATTGAGTCTTGTGGTAACAAAATGAACAGAGAATGATCCATGTGATCATTAAAACTTCTTGAAAGATTGATACTAGAGAGGCCAACAAGGACCCACATGGTCTTCCTGAAGAAATGACAATCTAACCAGGACATGTTGGAGGTGGGAATTACTTATAACAAGGCAAGAAATTTGGTGGAAATTAAGTGATTCTAATATTGTCTCAGATGCACTGCCATCACCAAAGTTAGATTAGATAAAAAAGAAGAAAGTAAAGAAATGAAACAGGAATGAAGGAAAGAAAAGAAAGACATACCTGGAACAGAGCAGAAAGTGAGTGGAAGGATGAAGAAAAAGGAATCCGTCCATGGATACTGCTGGCCCAGGTATACAACTATACCAGTGACATGAGAGAGACAGAGAGTGTGACAGGTATGAATCAGAGACAAAAGAGAAAACCACAAATGGGTAGCTCAATATTTAGAAGCTTGATTTAAGAGTAGAGATGGCACTTGGTGTGGAGCCCCCTGTGTCATGTGCGGTTCACAATGTGTGTCATGTGCGGTTCACAATGTGTGTCATGTGCGGTTCACAATGTGTGTCATGTGCGGTACACAATGTGAAATATCACACATTATGTTCTCTGAAGTACTCTTTTCATTCCTGTAAGCTGTCCTTCCCTGGCTCAGTAGAGATTACTGATCCTCCACACTCTGATCTAGGTGAGCTTTCCCATTTTCTTCTCTACTCCTCTCTTTCTCTTATCATCAATTCATCTTTCCTCCATAGTTTTAAGGTAGGGATTACTGATCCTCCACTCTCTGAGCTAGCTTCTAAATAAAATAAAGACTGCTTGGTTCCAGAAATCTCTCCAAGGCAGCAATCTTGTGCATATGGACAGTGAAGAGCTTCTGGCTCTTACACTTGGCACATGTTGGAGTACCTGCCATGCTTTCATCTACACACTGCCAGCCACCAGTGATGCATGTGGAGGTTCCAGTACTGAAATATTCAAGAGTTACTTCAGGAAGGCCTGGAAATTTTTTTTTAATCAGCTAATCAAGGAAACCAGAGCTGGATATTGATTCAATTTTGAAGATTTAATAGCAGAGTTGTGAATATTTCTTTTACAAATGAAATTGCTTGGGAACAAGCCTCATGAAAAGCTGTTGTGTATAAAATTGTTAACAGAATCTCATGACTTGAATTTAAAATCACATATATGATTGACAAATGTTTCCACTGATGATAATTTTCAATGGAGGACTTCCCTTTGGCTATATAGTTAGATTTAGTAGGTCTTGAACCTTATTAATTCATTTTAGCCAGAAAATAATTTTCAGGACTTCCTTGGAAAGTAACAAATTTGGAAAAAGTGAAGTTAACCTATTCTTCTTCAAGTCCATCTGGATCCATTCTTGGACTCTTTTTTGAACTCACACATTGAATGGAGGACTTCCTGTTGTCCAATTCCTTTAATTCATAAGGAACTCCTCAACATTATTTTCTGGTGAAAATACAACAAGCACAAGTTTTCACAATACAATGAAGTTTAGCACCCCCTTCTACATCATGCAATTTAGGCTACAGGAATTCCTCCATTGAATGAATTTTATGATCATGCAAAAATAAAGCAACAGATCTCAAAGCCTGCTTTGATAATCCCAATGAAAATGTGGACATCTGCAAAATCAAAAGGCTTTTAGAGGTCTTGGTTATCACATAAAAATTAATCAATGTCCACTTGAATTGAATAAATAAATATTACCCCTACAAATTTCCCATGAGCTTATGTGTTTGCCTAATTAAAATGTTTTAATGTAAGATTGTTATATTGTGATCAATCATTAATAAACATTTCAATTCAACTTGAAGCCCTACATGTCAATAAATTGGGTGTGTTGGGATGCACACCAAAGTCTTGATTAACAGGAGGATTCCTCACAGACATCAAATAAAAGTTTATGGTGTCAATAGCTGAGCAAAATCACACCAATACTGCTCATGTGCAGTCTACATGTCCATGAGGAGCCCTCCGTGATGTCCATATTGTATAATTAATCCATGCCCAAGAGCATTCATCTGGGTCATTGTACTGTAGATGGAAAACCAAATTTTGGAAAGAAATTGAGATCTTTCCCAGGTTTGTTGGAAAAGAAATACTGTATCAACTTGAACATGTAAATTGCTTTTCTGAGTTTGCATCCAGATGAAGGAGGTGAAGTGAAACACAACCAAGTTGTACAATGTAGGTGAACAAAAGAAGGAAAAAAAAACAATCATACAACATCATGTGGTAGCTCAAGTATAACGGTAATGGCAACAAGTTTAAATTGTATGTAGATGAAAGAAGTAGGAAATTTTGTCTGGTTCAAATTGGACAATGGTGGGATTTGTAAAAGACCAAGCTTAGCAAGGTGACCAATTCATCCTGTTCAGAAAAGACTGGAATCAATTCTTGTTTTTTTTTTTTTGATCAGTACATTGAAAATTAGTGAGGACACACCACTGGAGCACCATCAACACAAGAAAGAGTAACAGTGTCGACCCCTTTTGGATCGTTCAGCCAGCTATCATTTCGCTTTTGATCTATTCAAGTCAATTAAGAGTTAGATGTATTGTATCTTTGATGTGGAGCTGCAGTTATGGTATGGAGAGGGAGAAAGGAATAATACAGACTTTTGATCTTTCCTACAAGCTCATCATGTTTACCGGAGACGACCCTATGAATTTTGCCGCCTTCATCGGTAATGCCTAATTTAAGCCTAAAATGTTGCCGCAAACCAGAGTTGTCGATGAAGTTAAAACGCCAGACATCGGCGGAGAAGAATTCCGGATCAAACTGGAATTCTCGCTGAGGTAAGTTGTCTTTCTGAGGTGGACCTTCTCTCTGGGTGAAGGTTTCCTTGCGGTAGGCACAGATATCATGGTTCTGAAGAGTGTGATGGAGAGGGATAAATTGGAATCAGTCACTTAATCTCAGTCAATAGGTCTCAACCATTCAATGTTTTAGCGGTGACACAACTGACCGAGACCAATGTGAACAACTTTTTGGTAGAGCCGTCCTTGATTGTCATACTGGTCTCCCCACTCGATGGGGTATTCAGCTCGGGGGCATACTGATAGGCAACCTTTCCGTCCGCACTGAAGATCTGGCAGTGATCCCCTTTTGACTTTATTATATAATCGTTGGGAAGCGCAATTTTGGGTCGGGCATGGATGATAAAAGGAAAGAACACCAATAGGGTAATGAATGGGAATCCGCTTAGGATTTGCATGGTCGGTTATTGAGGATTGAAAATAGAGGCCTCACGGCTATATAACAAACACGTCGGTCACACTCAGTTTATTTCAAGTTGTCTAAATGCAACCTATTGAAGCAAGCTAGACAAATTAAGGAGTGTGATGAGGTGGCCAAAATGCGCTGAAAATCTCAGATAGATTGTACAAAGATTGCTGAGAAGCAAGGAAGTAGTGAAAAGAAAAAAATGATAGTCAATAGCAGGGTTGAGAATAGAGAGGATGGTGGTGAAGTCTCGAGGCTTTTATACCGATGACACCAGTGCAAGAACTCCTTGTAACGGTCCTTCTCCCTACTGTTTCCATGACTTCCGGAGTGTCAGGGATCTGACGGTCTCACTACATATACCTGAAACCCAGACTGTGCTTGGGATGAAGAGTAAGTAGTGAGACTGCAAGTCACGGCGAAAGAGAAGATAAATTATAGAGAGAACGTCCGATTCTCAAGCTCAATCTTCCCCCTACTATAGCTGCCCATGGAAATCCAGTTTACCGGTGGCCTTTCACCTTTCTTCCACGTCTTCCGCCCGAAAAAAAATATCTCAGATTTCTTGGTCATTTCCATCCCGCCCGCCCCTGCAACGCAACCCCGGGTGCGAGAGAGGGTGGGTCCAGGGTCGATCTGTTGGTGATTTCCACCCTCGCCCGTGCAATGCTCTAGCGAAGCAATGGGTCCCGAAATTCGAGGCTCGGTTGGTTATCTACAGAGCCAAAACCCCTCATGTTAGTTGGTACATATTGGCTCGGTAGGCCACCCCAATTTAGATACCGACAGCGACTACACTGCTGCTACCCCTGGGGAAAGAACATTGCCTCGCAGGACTATCACTAACACAATCCGCCCCCCCCCCCCCAGATCCCTTAACCTGGCAACAAGAAAGTCATTCTCCAGATGCAAATTGCAGGAAGGAAACAAGAAATTTATTTCCTGGCAACGGCGCATAATCAGTAGACTTTATTCAGCAATCATAAAACGTATGTACTTCCCTGCTTGATTATCCTCATCCCACTCCATACATACTTCATACAAATGCTCACTTTCACCATTGTCAATTTCACAAAACCATGCAACTTCAAGGAAATAGTCTTTGAATGCAGACAGATATTAATAAGGGCCTGTATCATATGGCATGAAAATTCAATTTTTTTTCATAATTTTTCACAATCTACATTCCTCAAATTCTCATATAATCCAAAAGTGACCATCACCAAAGGCCATTTATAAGCTCAAATATCCAGAATTTCAACACCAGGTTATATGTATCTCCAATTGTTTTGAATTTTTGTGAAGGAGCTGGAGACAGAAAAAATGACCATTTTTCAAAATTGACTCCTATAATGGTACAGATATCAAAATATGGTACCTACAAATTATCAAAGTCATCCTAGGATTTGTTTGATTTTTTTTTTGAAATCTCTCAGCCTATCTTTTCCACAGCGTACATGATTAATCACGTTTTGTTTTTTGATCATTTAAATATGTGCTCATTGTGCCCAGATGATATTGATATTGATTTGGAAAATTTGCCCAATAGTGAATTACAAATGGTGTGAATCTTTTGATTTATCCATGTCTATTGTATGAAGTGGTTTGAAGCAGACATACAGTGAACAATGATTATCTGAATGTGTGGCTCATTGGGTAGTGTGCTCAGTGTTATGAAACCAAAATGTAGAGCATCCAGTGCGTTTACAGGGGACAAAAAAAGCCCTTACATTTCCACGGGTTTCCAGGAATGAAGGGAAGCAAGCCTAACTAGTCCTCCACGGCAGGAGCAGGAGCAAGCAGCAGAGCTGTCCACGCCAGTGGAGGCCTATGCATGATGCGGCAAACCCCGCATGGTGAGTTTGCAGAATTGGGCTGAAAACCAGGTTTTTTGTGTACTTTCACATCTAGGCCCTTTCTCATTCATATTTATCAGATTTTCTTCTGGGCCTGGGAGGGCCTGCTTCTTCCACATACTTCTCACTGTTCACTTTTTCCTGTTATATTTTCATTTTTTTTTTGCAGAAGTTGTTGAAAAGGACAACTTTTCTATTCAAGTTGACCTCTTTTGGTGTGTTTGAGTTGAGCAAACCCCGCGTTTGAGCTTAAAAAAAAAGTTCAAACCATGATTTTAAAAAAAATCATGATAAATTTGCAAGGGGCTGTCCCGGTTTTGAGCTTTGGATGGATTGGCAAGATCATCCAGCGCTTCAAGAAAATACGCTCAAACATCCTCAAAGTTTTGAGGGAGCGTCGTGATTCCAAATCTTGTGATGCTTCCATGACCAAAATACTACAAACTCAGCACGCAGCCCAAGTCTCCCCTGCGGGGAGTTCCCTTCGGGACGACGGGAACCACGGTGGGCGAATCTGGAAACAAAAAGTTAAAGTCAAGTGTATAATCCCAAGGCAAATCCTCATTACCCCATTGAGGAGTAATGAAAAATCTGATTTGTATTTGATACACTTATAGACTTCCAAGCTTCCCTCCAGGAATGTACTCGTTTTCCGGTGCATGAAGCTCACTGGCAATGTTTACTTCCCTGCTGGCGGCAAGTTGACCCGATGTGATAGTAATTTGACTGTAGAGTTCCTTGTTGAGGAGGAATGGATGAATCCTCCCCAGCACTTGGGTACCTTCCCGCCAAACAGCCTGATGTCCAAGCAAGGCTTGACAAGCGCAACAGCCAGATCCAGGTCGAGAACAAGTTCGGCACTGACGATCTGAGAGGATGGGTATGTACTCTGCACAACGGATAATGGGATGAGCTCCCAGCTCATGCGTAACAGTTACGTGACGATTGTCACCTTCATTATGCGTTTGGGGGTAGTTTTTGTTTCTAGATTCGGCCACGCCGGGAACCGCCTGGCCAGCGCTACGCTGCCAGATGCGCCCCCCGCAGCCTGAGACTTGCGACAAGTTCGGAAGGGAAGCACTTCACAGATGCACGGGTCGGCCGACGGACTCGGACAAACTGAACAGTCGAACTGCTGGGGCAGTTGTGTTGCAACAGGCGGCCTTGAGCTCCCTGAATCCATGCCGACATTGATCGTCGACACCAATCGGACTGGACCCTTGCGTTCGAAGTGCTTCAGCTTGGTCTCAAAGCCTGATGGTCATCTTTAGTTGAACGTTGCAAAGTGCAGGGTCATCATGAAGGACTTCGAGCATTGGTGATCATGCCTTCGCCACACACATCAAATCCATTCGGCAGGAAATGATGTGGGACAAGTAGTACATACTAGGGCCGAATCCAACTCGACCTTCTGAAGTGAGGCTGAATGTCTGGGATGACGAGGAGCTGCAAAACAGCGATGGCTACTGTGGCAGCGAGAGGAAGAGTTGGACTGAGCATGCAGGGATCGATCATCGGAAATCGGTTGTTGCTGGTCAGTGGGGTTGATGGACCTTGAGGAGGTTGTAAATATTTACATAGAGTGCAGTGGATCAGAAAGAGTCAGCTGTCCAGCCGGAGGCCGATGGCCAAAGAGACTTCACCTTGCACTTCCAGGCTCCAGCAAACTCTTTTCTCGGCGGGCTGGTCATACCAACAAGAATTTGTCCGACTGTGAACTGCATCTGTCGGCTTTGGTCGCCCATTTCACCCGGCAGCGGTTCCGCCACAGCGCCCGCGGTTCCCGGCCGGCGAAGCTTTATTTAGAGTTTCAAGAACCGGCGCGTTCTCGCTCGTCAAACTTTTTTTCATCCGCTGTAACCAACAAGCTTCGGCTTCGGCCATCCAAACTGGTGAAGAACAGCATCGTCGATCCGGACTAGCTCGTCCTTCAGCTCGAACTCTTTGCAGTGTACTCAACCTGACTCGAGCCGTTTGAGCTTGTTCTCGCTTTTAGCCACTGGGTTCTGATCAGCTCTTGTCGGGGAAACAGCACACCTTGTTCTTCTCTCCCCACCCATCAAAGCAAGGTTCAAGACAGATCCAAGCCATCCAGCTCCCCTTTCGAATCAAGCTTCTTCCGTTTTCGAGGCCGAGATCATGTCGGGGCGGAACAGCCAGGAGAGAACTAGAGCCAGCCAAACAGCCAAGCTTTATCATGAAACTCAAACCTACAATCATTCACAACCAGCCCACCATCGGGAATCACTGTGATCACTTAACCACGTTCATTGTTTCCTTGCACCTTCAAGCCCTACCTGCTCGTGTTCTTTTTTTGGGGGGGGGGGGGGGGTTGAAAGTTTCACTTTGATCCTGCCAAGAAAGTTTTGCAAACACTCTTCGACACATCCACCCGATCTCTGTGCAAGTCGGCACCCACAGCTGATCAGCATGGCCCACCGAGTCCCACTACCACTCGTAATCTCTGTGTTTTTTTTTTGTTCCCTCAGGGATATATAACACCCGGCTTTGCTGGTTTCATTGAGAGAGAAGCCACCAACGACAACAAGCCTACCACCAAACAGTCTGACCTGTCTACAAGCTCAGGAAACTTCATAAAGAGCCCCTCTTCGCCTCAAGAGCAGCCTCCCTCATCCCCAGCTTCGTCCAAAAAACTTAGCCATCCCATCTGCTCGACTTAACAGAGACACGGAGAACAACAACAGATTAGTGACCATGCCAGCCGCACACGCCGTCCCATCCATCTTCCTTACTCCTCCCGAGCGTTTGAGCGGTATGCTCCAAGAAGAGATATTAAACCCAATCAGCGCTCGAGTCATCCCAGCCACCGCCAAGATCAACCCCCGACTCAACCCCTCTGATGATGATGAGGAGTCGAACGACGAGGGCTCTGAAAGCTCTTCAAAGGAAGATTCTTCCAAGGAAGACTCCTGGTCATCATCCACTTCACTATCCACTGATGACAGCAACTGCTCAGGCATTGAAAGCGTACGTCAATATCCAACTGTCTACTTCGTCTCCCCTAGATTGACCGGAACATCTGCTTTTGGTTGTGTGTGTGTGTGTGTGTGTTTTCTTTCTCCTGCCAGTATGACGATCTCGTCACGCCCCTTGAGGTCAAGACGGAGATCAAGATCTCCAAGTTTGCCGAAAAGTTGATCGAGCACAGTCGCCAGACGATCGCTGATGTGATCTCGGGAAAAGACGACAGACTGATCGTTGTGGTTGGGCCGTGTTCGATTCACAGTTGAGTGTCTTCGTCCTTGATTTCCCTCTTTGGGATCGTTGCAGACCCACTTTGTGTTCTGGTGCTCATCAATCCGGCTCTGTTCGTTATTTCCATAGATGTTGACGCCGCTCTCCATTACGCCCGAGAGCTGAAGGCTGTCGAAAGCCAATTTCCGAACTTGATACTCGTCATGAGAACAGTAAGTTCTGAGATGTATGACCATCATTCAAGGTTCTGATCATCAATTTTGTAATTGATAATCGGATCGATTTTTTTGTTTTTTTGGTTTTGGGTAGTACTTCGAGAAACCCCGAACGACCGTGGGCTGGAAGGGCCTGATCAACGATCCAGACTTGGATGGCAGCTTTCAAATCGAGCGCGGGATTCGGATTGCCCGACAACTGATGGCTCAAATCACCCATATGGGCTTACCGGTAGCGACCGAGTTACTTGATACGATCAGGTTGAGTTTTGATTCACCCTAATCAAGAGTGCATATCTTCATGTAAAATTTTTTTCCAGGAACTTATATATTTGTAAGCGTGTTTGGTGATACTTCTGCCAGTCCTCAATACTTGTCCGACTTGATTTCCTGGGGAGCGATCGGCGCCCGCACGACGGAGAGTCAGCTTCACCGGGAGCTGACCTCAGCCATGGCCCACCCGGTCGGGCTCAAGAACGGCACCGACGGCGGAGTGAAGGTGGCGATGGACGCGATGCAATCGGCACGGGCGAGCCATGCATTCATGGGCGTCGGTCCACACGGACGGGCAACCATCGTCCGAAGCCGCGGAAATAGGAATGTCCATGTCATCCTCCGTGGGGGCTCTAAGGGCACAAACTTCGACCCGCTCAGTGTTGCCGAGACCCGATCGAGTCTCCTCAAGATCCAGCCCACCTTCCATCCTTCGATCATGGTAGATTGTTCGCATGGAAATTGTAAGTCGAAAAAAACAGAGTCTCTCTTTCCTCCATCCAGACCAGCCGCTCGATCACCTCGCTGATATCTGTCAAATCTCCCAGCGTCGAAGGATTACAGAAACCAACCCAAAGTGATCAAGTCGATATGCGAGCAGTTATCAAACGGCAGCGATCAGGGAGCTATCAGCGGAGTGATGATCGAATCCAATATCCACGAAGGCCGACAGGACATTCCCAAGGACGGGCCCATCGGGCTGAAGTATGGGGTCTCAATCACGTCAGTTGCTTGATTAGTGCATCTTCTCTTTATCCTTTGAGGACAGCGCGGTTACTAACCCAACGCATGCCTTCGGTTGCCAACTCGTAGGGATGCTTGTGTCAACTTCGAGGAAACCGTGAAAATGTTGAAGGACTTGGAACACGCCGTCTTGAGCCGTCGGGCAATCTTGGGATCCCGCAGATCAAGTCTGGACTGCTAGCTCCCCTGATGCGCGTTTCTTTCGCTCATTCATTTGTTTCGGACATGAGGATGACTGCACAGCCCCACCAAGCCATTAACGTGTGCTACATATTAGCTTTTAGACGTGAGAAGATGTCTCAAACGTACCATCGAAGTGCCATCCAGATAAAGCGTACCTATCCAATTCCCACTTGCTTGTTCGGTTCCAGATTTCCCCTTTTTCTCCCATCTACATTACAATAATCTTACTAATGAACGAAGAATCGCTTGGTCGGCTAAAAATAAATCCCCCCCCCCCCCCCCCACTTTTTCTTTGTCGTGTAAGCCAACAATAGTTCTCGCAAAACAAAATCTTAATATTTTTCATATTTTGATTTTTTTTAAAAAAATAAAAACCGTGACTTGTTTACTTGATCATTTGATATGGACACTTGGCTTAATAGAGTATATAAACGTAATCAGTGAAATTAATTATTTGGGTGATTGGAAGCCCAAGCTCCAGATGGTCAGATCTCTAAGTTGTCTCAGGAATGTGAATATGTGCGTGCACAGGGGGTATACTTTGTTGGCGAACTTGCAAAATTTGCAAGATTGAAATTGAGGTGCTTCTCTTTTTGGTGGCATGATATCGCCGTTCTCGCGACTCAAGCTGCCTGAAATAGCGGGCAGGTACACTCAGTCAAACTTAAGATTGGTCTTACAATAATTGAGATAAAAAAAATGTATAGTAGTTCAAACCAATCATAAACACTAGCATATATAATAATAATCCAATGAAGGGGTGAATGAATGAGCTATCCGACAAACCGGAAGCAATCAGCCACGACGGCATAGTTAGATATCGAGACTGGCTGGCTGGATTCATTGGCGGCGGGGGACGGGGCGAGGATGAGTGTTTGGCTGAAGACCCTGGGGAGACCATCAAGGGCCTGCTGGGCATCCGCCGGATTCTGCTTCGGGGAGATATCCTTCGGGTCGGGCATTCGGAAGTTCGACGGGAACGGCTGGGCAGAGAAGATCACCTGGCCTGAGATCGAGATCGAGATCGTTGGTAAGACTGATGGGGCAATTATCGAACCTGATTATCCCAGAATGATCGGTTCCTACAAATTAATATCGATCGTCTGACAGCCGCTACAGTCGGTCACTTACCTGGAATCGCGTGCGCATCGAATGACTGAACTTCATGCTTCGAGTATGAGAGTTGAGATAACAATGTTGCTGAGAATGCGGGCAAGCCAGAAATTGCGTTGCCTGAAAATGGGAACGAGGAAGACGATAGTGAATGAGGAAAGTTATCTCAAACGGCGAAATCAGGGGGGGGGGGGGGGGGGGAAGGGGGGAAAAAAAAAGCAACCGTTCCAGACGATCCGCGCATCGGGACGGTAGAATTCGGGCAGCTTGGAAGAGCGAGTGGAGGAGTCGTAGACCGAGTAACTAGATCTGTGCGGCATCAGTGATCAGGACGTCTTGACTCGGCGCTCATAAAAAAAACTAGAGTCATTCGAATGCGTGTTGGGACCCACTATGCGTCGACGAACAGTTCGGCGTGTTTATTGGCCTGTCCAATCCATCATAGATGAAAAAAAAAAAAAAAAAAAAAAAAAAAAAAAAACAGGTTTGCGCGTCAGCTTGGGAGTCCTTCCATTCGACTTCGTCTTCCGTGGAAGCAGATTCGACAGACCCTGATTTCGACAGACCGGGCGGAGGGAACGACGGCTCTCTTCTGGTGATCGGTGTGGTTCATCGTGGTGGAGTGTTGGACAATCTGTGGAGGTCATGGATCTCCGCCAACAATATTTATACGAAGGGCGTGGCGCAGCAGAGGCTGGGTCGAAGAGTCGTCTGACGGATGCGACAGCAGGCCCGCAGCAGGCCGCAATGTCTGCGCGCAACGGCTGCAATATTTGTCGGATACGGTTTTCTATCCGGAGCAATATTTGTCGGATACGTTTTTCTATCCGGAAAGGTCATCGGATTAATGACGGCTCCATGTATCCTAAGATCTCAAACAAATTGTAAAATTGTCTGTTGATCGCCTTTACAAGATTACCTTACATATTTTCGTTGGAAAAACATCAAGAACTTGATTCGGGAAATTGATCCAAAGGCTTTCAAAAACACACAGGATGTTGAAGTGATGGCTACTTCAATTCTTGCAAGATGGACTGACATTTAGGTGTGAATTTTCTTGCACATTGGATTGCTTGGTAGCAATCCTTATCCAGACAAAGTAGTAATTCATCCAGCAGGGTGAGTGCTGGAGGGCTGGGAAGCTGTGATCTTTCTGAATGGTGCCTCATCTTGAACTTCACGCAAATATTTTGTCCAATTTGGTTCTATGATTGCATAGGAACACATTTCATTTTCCTCTGCACTTAGGGAAAATGTAGGAATTTTTAAAGTGTGTCATCAAAAGGGGCTGGGCATTACAGACCTAATAATCAAGACCTGCCAGAAGACGTTGATCTCGCTACAAGCATAGTGTGGCTTGAATGAAATAATACCTCCAATTTATGATATATTCCTCAGAGTCATATCACAACAGAAAGAAAATGAAAAAACATTGAAACATTAAAAAATAATTGAAACATGAAATGATTGATGTGAGGCATGGTGACAGATCCAGCTGTTTGAACCACAAATGAACCCAGCTTTTTTTCCCCTTATATATTCTGAGCGAGGCTTAGTTGAGAGAATTCAAGCAAGCGGGACGATGTTGGAGATCTTGACAAGGCCTTCGCTTCTGAACGGAAGCCCGTCGGCGGTGAATGATTCAATAATCACAGGGATCACACCAGTCTCCAATCGAGAATCATTGCCGGCGGCCGTTCCTGTTGCTGGCACAGGCGCTGCTGTTGGTGGGGGATTGTTAGGCTGCCTCTGTGCCTGAGCCGGTGTTTGAGCCTGTGCTTGAGCGGGTGTCTGTGGCTGTGCTTGAGCCGGTATTTGAGCTTGAGTTCTAGGCGGTGTTTGAGGCGGTGTTTGGGCCGGTGTTCTAGCCGGTGTTTGAGGCGGTGTCTGGGCCGTTGTCTGGGCCAGCACTTGGGGCGGTACCTGGGCGAATAGCTGGGCCGGGGTCTGGGTCTGCATCTGGCTTGCTGGATTGTTGTTCACAGGCTGCGCTTGCGATGTGGTATTTTGCTGGGGGGCTGCTGTTCGCTCTGGAGTGAAATTTTCTGTCGTCGGTTTGGTGCTGACGAGTTCCTGGGGATGCGGGCCAACGGGCAATCCCAAGACGGGGAAATTGCGGACCGGACTGGCGTTGGTGGCATTGGCCTTGGGAGTAGGAGTTTGAGCGGCGCCGGCGCCGGCGGGGTCCGATGGTGCTGGTCCTGTTTTCTCGGCAGTTTGGGGAGGTTTCAAAGTTTCGGGAAGCTGAGTGGGAGGCCGGGGGGCTTGGTTGGCCGTCTCGGTCGTATTTGGATCTGATGTGACTGCTTTGGTAGGTCTTGCTGGTGGATTCAAGCCCTGTGCAGCGTTGGCGGAAGGCGGCGTGGTAGGCGAGTTTGGAGATACCGTCGGCGACGGGGAATTCAAGCCTTGTGCAGCATTAGCCGAAGGCGGCATGGCAGGAGGGTTTGGGGATGCAGTCGGGGGAGGGGAGGGCTGAGTTGATGTTTCGAGCAGCTGATTTGTAACTGCCTTCGTCGGTCTTGGTGGTGGGTTCAAGCCCTGTGCAGCATTGGTAGAAGCCGGCGTGGAAGCGGGGTTTGAGGATACCGGCGGTATAGGATTAGAGGGTCGATTTGCAGTGTCTGGAAGCTGGTTAGGAAGCTGGGGGGCTTGGTTGGCTACATCGGCTACATTCGCATCAGATACCACTGCCTTCGCCAGTCTCGGTGAAGAGTTCACGCCCTGCGGCTGCCCAATATTAGGGGAAGCAGCCGTTGAAGAGGGGTTTGGAGGTGCTATTGGTGAAGCCTGCGGGACTGTTGCCGCTTGGGCTGGCACCCCCAAAGGATCGGAGAAAGAAGGCACCGGGATATTCAGAGATGGCATGGGCATGTTAAACGCTGGCATAGGCATACCAAAAGGTGGCATTGGCATACCTAGAGGTGGTATTGGCAGAGGCAGGGGTAACATTGGCATGCCCAAAGACTGCATAGGTCGATTACCGAATTGCGATGTTTGAAATGGCATCGAAACTCTTGGGAACGAGTCTTGGAATATTTGAGGTGGATTTTGTCCTATTTGGATCGAAGAAACTGTTCCTCCTTGTGCCGCGTTGGGAGAGGATTGGCTGCTCTGTGTGATAGTATACGGCGTGCCACCATAAACCGTCGTTCTCGAGACTCGTCCATCAGCTGTAGTTTCAGAGCTAGTCGAAAAGCCAGAAGATGAGGAGGAGCTTTGCGAATTCGAGGAGCCGCTGGAAAGAAGGTAAATTGACTTGGGTGAGTAGAGGAACACTAGTGATCCGCCCATGATTTGGCGTCAGGACCAAGTCAAGCAAGAAGGAATACTCACAATTGCCTTTTCTCAACCAACCCCTTCAGATTTGGAATGGCTCTTGCATTGGCAACAGCAACAATAAATGCAATCAGATAAGGACTTGCGGCCCACATGTTCAACACGTAGGAAGAAACCGGCGATTTGAAAGGTTTACTGTTTGTTTTGGCCTGAGGAAGTTGAAGGTGCGTGTTGAGTTGTGTACTTGAGGATGAATTAGTGGTTCGGACGAAATAGATTGAATGCAGAAAGTAAGATGATAAAAATTGAGAGGCAAGGAAAACGAGAAGCAAAATAGATAAATAAATAAAATAAATAAAGAAGAAGAAGGAAAGAAAACTAAAAGAAGTTTGAAATAAGGCTAACTGAGACTACGTGATTCGTTTCGAGCATGAGGTTTTTGGAGGACTAGATGAGCTGTTGAGCTCGAGGAGATTGATGGAAGAAGATCGGTGGGGCGTTTGTTGGAATGCTTCAAAAGAGAACGGACGTATAGGCTCACATTTCTCGAGACAAGCAAGCTCTTGAGGGGACATGCTATAAGCGTGGCCTTTCGGAGTGGTTGCCGATACCACCAAATTCCAAGACGATACATTCACCATCGTTCTAGCCGGGTTGATCGTCTCAATGGCTCACAAAAAAACTGCCTGGCCAGTTCGAGCTCACCGTCTTGTGGGTTCCAACGGGCTACATACCAACTGGCAACGACCCGATGTTTTCTCTTTTTCGATTTACTGACCAAAGTTAGGCAGCATGCGCCATGGACAGGAGGCCTGAGCCTTGCCACGCGACATCACACCTTTGTGAATTCATCCGGCTCATGTGCGGCACTCCCGCGCCAATCCTCCTGTTCGCGGACCGGACGAACTCGGGAGGAACGGCGCGCCAGCCGCCGACGGTCATAGCACCACCAGGCTGGCTAGTTTAAAGCAACTGCTTTTGGGAAGAACGACATCATGTAACAGTCCTTCATGTCAAGAAGACCTTGCAAACATCCATTTTAGGGCATGAATAGATAGATGGATGTGTATCGATGAACCTCGACCCGTGTGGAGTCATTCCAATCCGGGTTCCCTCCGCTGAGACCCGCAATGGAATTGCGATACTCAATGGCTTGACTTTTCCCTGATGTCGGCTCCCTCCGAGGCCACCACGGTCTTTGTTTAGCTCTTTTGTCTGTTTACTACTATACGCGGACTCGGTCAAGAGTCGTGAAGTTTGCTCTTCGCGTTCCCTTATCTTTTCTTTTGTCCGCACCAATCAACGAGTGACGATGCTGCTTGGCTCGATGATTTCTAAAGCTCGAGGTCATCGAACCTGCCCAAATGCAATACCTCTCCTCATTTTTATAAGCTTCCGTACCCAAAGCCGGCGTGAAGACACGCCAGTCTTTTTTCACCATATTCTACCCACCGTGATGGATCATAAATAGCTGGAAGTGCATCTCAGCTATTTGCCATACATCTCATTTTCTTCATTCATCGTCTCTTACAATCATTCTCATAAGACCTTGTGAGGTTTAGCAACCCAGCTCGACACATTCAACCTGGCCTAGCAGTTGTATCCCGACAATACCAACCCAGGTCACAGTAAATCCAACCTATTTCCTGAGCACTTACAGATGTCGAGTGAAACCTTTGGTAAAAATTAAATCCGTTCTTTCTGTCATCTACAAGCCAGTTTCTGTAAGCTCACATTCACCGACTCCGAAATGTGGGTTTTTGCATTACAGGTCTCATCGCTCAAGGGTTTGATGATTTGGTCGCAAGATGCTGGAAAATAGATGATAACCAGTCTCGCATAGTGCCCGCGGAAAGTTTCTCAACCGATGATATTGACGCCGGTAAAGCTCACCTTCTCCAAATACAAACCAGCCTTCTCCCCTCATTGCGACAGCAGCTCGCCGGTCTAATGGCATCACTAAAACCAGGCGCTTTGGAAAAAGATCCAATTACAAAATGCAATCATACGCTAGAGATCATTCAGAAAATCGGGCACATCTTGAATCAAATTAACGCGTCCGTCAATTCCTTTGTCTCAATGCCTCCCGATGAGGGCAAGAAGGACCAGGATTACGGTGTTTTGAAGAAATTTAGGTGTCATGCCTTGGTTGAAAAAATTAATAGTTTGATAGGTGGAAAACTCCGTCAATTATTTCTCCATTATTCTGTTTTTATTCGCTGTTGGGAGTTTCCAAATGATCGCCCAACCTTCTCCTCAGATGATAAATCCCAGAGAGTTGAGCTGGAGGAAAAAACACTGGAAATCACAGCTCTGTCCTTGCAGGGTATCGACAGTATAATCCAATGGTCCAACCGAAGTGACTTTGATATTCTCCAAGACGCGTGGGTTCCGCAAGTAAGATCACTCTCCTCTAACTTGGCAATGGTTACCCGACGACTTAATCCGACAGTTCACTCAAGAGAAGAACACGATACAACTGGTGGGAGTCCGCATGGGTCTACAAACTCTTCAGGGGCTCGCGAAAACAATCAAGGTGATGGCCGAGATGATAGATCTGAGGCTGACGTTTCCAGTGCTCACGAAGAAGACCAATCAAGAAATAACCCAGAAATCCCTCTTACTTCACATCAAGTTGAACTTATCCAACAGACTATACCGATCATCAAATTATCCAGAATATTCTTTAACAAGATGATTAGCACTCGAAAGGGGAAACCACCATTCACACTCAATAGCCAAATAAGTTCCGCTGACATCGCATCCTTGCAGGAGGAAATGGTTCAGATTTCTGTCTGCATTGCGGACATTGTTGACCTGTTGTGCAATGCCAATTCTCCAGAAAACCTTGACCGCGACACGGTCGAACTGCTTCCGCGTTGGATCCAAGAGCTTTCAGGCCACTTCGATTCTGCGCTGATCATGCTAGGCTTTCATCTCGTATCTACAACCTCTCATCCTGATCCTCATCAACATGAGAGCTTCTTCAAAACTGGATTCTACTCTTTGCGTTCCCAGTTCCGTGTGGCTCTGAACAATCTTGTAGTTTCTCTGCATAAGCATGTTCCTCCCAGAATGTAGGAAATTCCACTGATGGGTGATTGATTCCCCCTGTCTTTCCAACGTCCAACCTGGTTTTTTGTGGAGTATTCCTTAATTCAAAATTTTTGTGCATATACTCATCTATTGGACATTGTATAATTAGAGTTTTGAGTGTATTTATATCATGTTTTTGTAATCTTAGGCTCCGTTTGGCCGACCAAGATATCATATATCGATATTGAAGAATCTTGCAGATTATGCCGGGGGGGGGGGGACGGGGATTATAACGCTGGTGAGAAGGCTGTTTGGCAGGTCACATCATAACAGCTCGTTCATCACGGAATATACTTTTTGCTTATATTCTCCAGCCAAGTGGAAATTCTGGACTGGACCAATATTTACCGTGATAACGGATTTGCATGGTTGTGTAATAATCGGATTAAGGTTGATAAATCTTAAATCCAATTATTAGGATTTGCGTATAACAATATATAACATTTTGGGCGGCCAAACGGAGCCTTATGTATTCACCTGAGACAGCAGCATCCATAATTCCTTTGTATTTCTACTTGAGATATCCCCAATGGAGGTCTTCCCGTCGGATCTGCGGGGCTCGCAGATTTTTTTTTACAAAGCAAAACTCTAAAAGTCTAAATATGTGCTTCCGTCGTCCTCACTTTGTAAATTTACACCTCCTCCTTGTAATCCTCTTCGACACACAATCTTCTCTTATCCCACCTCACATATACAATACGAATCAACACAACTTGCAGCCTACAGCATCCGGAAACCGATACATCGACTACCAGCCGACTATTGTAAGTAACACATGTCTTTCACGATTGCCACATCAAGTTCGCTGATACATCAGTCCGGCTTTAATAATGATAAACCCTCATGTATTCTTATCAGAGCAGCAAGATCGACTTCGCATCACCCAGCAGCGTCGCCAGGTGGAGCAAGATGCCCGGCAACGCAACCTGGAGGCTCTTTTGGCTCAGCACTCTGCCAATGACAACCAAGAAAGCGAGGAGACTGTTGCATTATTCATGGCGATGGCCTTCCTTGGGACTCCGGGCCAGTTCCGGCAATTCCGGACATATTTAACCCGAGCCGATCTCCCGACTATTCCAATGGCACACAGTGCCTGGGCCTACTTATGGAAGTCCCGAAGCGATCGGGCCTTCATCACGACCATGGGGATCGATGTCAGGACCTTTGACGACCTTCTGGACCGTTTTGCACCGACTTGGAACTTCACGACGATCGACCGAGCCGATGTAAACCCCAATGGAGAACCTCAACTCGGCCGTCGGTCTCTGGATGCGGCAGGGACCCTTGGTCTTGTCCTGCATTGGCTATGCTCGACAATGTCGGCCTACTCGTTGCAACAATTGTTTGGAATCACCCCCGCAGTATGTTCACGATACCTTGCGTCAGGAATGGACCATCTGCTTGTAGTCCTCAATAGTCATCCTCAAGCCCGGTTTTTGTGGCCTACTACCGAACAAAGGGCAAATGAGTACAGCCGATGTATCGAGAAGAAGTTTCCTATGCTTAGCAAGTGTGTCGGATTTATTGATGGGTTGAATTTACCCGTCCTGGTTTCCGATGACAAAGAGTAAGTCCAATCGATTAGTCTCTATTTTGTCTTATTGAGTTCTGACTGGTCTGTTTATACAGCATTCAAAACGCTTATTACAACGGATGGACATGCTCACATTATTGCAGCTGCATCCTTGCCTTTGCTTCAGATGGTACAATTATGTACGCCATCTTAAACGCCCCCGGATCGTGGCACGATTCAACCATTGCCGAACCACTTTACGATCAACTACTCCACCACACTCCTCCCGGTTATCGTGTGATCAGCGACACAGCGTTTCCGCGTAAATCGGCAAGGCTCCAAAGTCGAATTCTGGCACCAGTCAAGCGGGGGGATCGATTGCCAACGGATGCACACGACTTTGCTTACCTCCAACTTCTCAATGAGCAGTTGGTCTCTGCTCAACAGGCGGCCGAATGGGGTATGCGATTGATCCACGGGTCGTTCGCCAGATTGAAACTCCCACTGCCGGCAAGCGATCATGGATTCCGGCTGAAACTCCTCCAGGTTGTGTGTCGACTTCATCAGCTCCAATGCCGATCGGTTGGCATCAACCAAACAGCAACTGTTTATCAAGCGGTTTGGGATGAGGACCGCATCCTATGCCGAGACTTTCACAAGATGATGTTTTCGGACATCCAAGGGCAATGTCGCATCTCTCAATACTACGACGGATGGCTCTAAATTTCCTTATTTATCATTTGTTTCTTTTATTTTGTTATGGTTTCCTTCCTATTGCTCATGATCATGTCACATCTGCCTATTGTTATATGTGTCGCTGTTATCTTCACCTAAACCAATCTGATTAGAAGCGAGTATCATGTAGTATCATCCATTCTTCCTTTGTTTTCTTTCAGATCGTTGAGATTAACATAGAGTAAATTCGAGGGATTGATCAGTCCAATTATGAATCAGACCGATCAATCTTCATTGATCCACTTATCTGACCAGTCAACCAAGAGATCGATCGGTCCAATTGTGATTCGAAGTGCGAGATTCATCGATCCACTTATCTTACTTCACTTACCTAACTTGTTTTGACTCAAATGCCTCGCAGAGATAAGATCGATCTCATGGATCAATCATTTGATCTTGTATATACTTATAAGCAATATTCATTCCAGAGCTCATGTGAATAAAAAAAATTTGGAACTTCTAAGATAACCCAGAGAGCACACAAAAAAACCTTCACATGATCTAGAAGAATGGCCTATAATCCATATAAAACAAGCAAAAGATTCAATATGAAAAAAAGAAAAGAAATAAATAAAAATGATCACTGAGTATGGGCCGATGGGCCAGTCTGATTGACCTCCCATGGTGATGTGCCAACATGGGTATGGGACTGAGCAAACAAACCGGCGCGCATCCCATGCACACCTCCATGTTGCATGAACCCACCAGGCGGGTTCAACTCTAGGCGGAGTTGCATCATCTCCAGGCGATGCCGTAAGTCCTGGTTGTCGGAGGTCTTCTGCGCTAGATTGGTTTGCGCTTGTCGGAGCTCGTCCTGCAGACAGAGGATATTAGCGTTAACCCCCTCGTGGAGGCGGTTGATCTCGTCTTGCAGTCGCGCGATCGTTGAATTCGCTTCTTGAAGACGGCTCGCATAGAATTGAGACATACTAGTCTCCTGATCCCGAGCGGCACGTGCATCCGGGTCAAAGAACGTCGCCAGAGTAGTATGTAGACCGGCCGGCTGAGATGCCTTCGCTTGACGACCCGTGGTGCTCTGACCCAACGAAGGCGAAGGCCCAGTGGCTGTCGATCGGGAGGCAGAGTTGGCGGTTTGTGACTGGTTGCGCTGGATAAAAGTCGTTGCCTGGCGAGTGTTCTGTGGCTGAGTCGAGTTGATTCCTCTATCCCCCGCCCCAGCAACAGAGGACGCAAGGCCTCGATTCACAACCGAAGAGTTCTGACCTTGAACCGCAGCCAATGACGGATTACTCGACGATTGGGAGATGTCAGCAGAGTCGTGGAGGGATTCGTCGTTGGGGTCAACATCCAAGTCAAGTGGATTGTTGGGGAGTTGCGATTGGGTTGCGCTCCATCCCAAGATGAGTGTCCCCTGGGACAGCGAACCAAAGTTGGCCGGAGAGAGCCGAACCGGGTTCCCTACACCATTTCTGGAACAAAAAATCAGCCAGGGTGAAGGGGACAGAGAGGCAAAGAAGGGAAATGAAAGGACTCATATCACCTTTCGTTGTTGCTGACAATATCTTCTTCATCATCATCATCTACAAATGCCAAACTCTTGGCCCGATCCTTGATCATCATGTTTGCTCGTTTTGCCTCACGAATCCATACTGGGCAGTCCGGATTGCCCGTTGGCTTTTTTGAAGCAACCAAAGCCTTGAACTTTGTCTTGAGAGGATCAGGGTCCCGAGGAGTCCGACCATTTGCCGCCGCGTATTGTTCGTACAACTCGTGGACTCGGTTCCAGTCATTGCTACCCAAAGGGAGGACATGCTTGACACAAGTTACAAGTGCCAAGCAATCGTCCCCGTTATACCCTTGCGAGCCCTTTTGATGTCCGGTACGGCGGGAGGTTGTTTGGGTCTGGAGGGCGGAGATGGTCGTTTGGGTTTGGAGGGCGGAACCGGTCGTTTGGGTCTGGAGGGCGGACACAAGGGTGGGATCCATTTGGGTGGCTACTTCGGATGGCTGGGTTGCTGGCTGAGTACCTGACTGAGTAGGAGGAAGATGGGACATGGCCGCAAGATAAAAGATTGTTGATAGGAAATTGTGGAGATATCGCAATGTCGTCTGAGTATGGGCAAGCTGCAGATTTGATTCCAGAGGAGGGAGATGGTTATATATGACAAGCAGGGAGAGAAGTGGTATCATTTCGCTGGTCTTGGGTGATTGAGCCGTAATCGATAGATGATCGCTGGTCTGATGATCGGTTTGTGTTGTTGCTGATCCTGTCCGATCTCCGATCAGATGAGGAGAGGTGAGGAAATTTACAAAATTGATGGGACCCCTCGTGTAAATTAAGAACCGGAAAATTTAGACTTTTTGGGTCTAAAATGAAATCTGCGAGCCCCGCAGATCCGACGGGAAGACCTCCAATGATCAGTCTGACCTCAAATAACAGATCTTCGCATTTTTGAGCTTGTCCTGAAGTTACAAAGGCGTGTCAAGTCTTATATGACCAGCGCCCTTGAAACACATTTTTGTAGGAAAAATTAAGAATGCTACACATCACTGGATGACTTCCCGTCAACATCTGCGGGGCTTCCAGTTTCGATTTAGAGCCGAAAAAGCTAGATTTCCCTGCAAAAATCTAGACTTTTTGGGTCTAAATCGGAAACTGCGAGGCTCCCAGATCCGACGGGAAGTCCTCCACTCTCAACCTGGCTCCAAAGCCTTTGGGATTTTTCTCCCTATGTACATATTCCAACTCATGTACGAGTGACCAACTTGATGTGTTGTCTGCGCTGCTGTTGTCCACCAGAGTTTGCTTGAATGGATATGCAAGTCTCTGTTGGGCCCCCTCTGTTGCGCAGTGGTGCCACGTGGCAGCAGTCCGAACACTTCTCCGTCATCACAGCCAGCAGCACCCTCACTCATCCCAGCCGACCACCAAGTTGATTAACTGACCTCCAGGAATAACCATCAAGACTAACCTCGACCCATTCTGTCTGTTGTTGCCTCAGTATGGAAGACGCACATGCTGCCTCGGTCCAAGAGGTGTTGGAAGAATTCCATCTCAAGCCAAACCATGGTCTATCCTCAGTCCAGGTGAAAAACTCAGAGAAACAATGGGGTAAAAACAGTTGAGTATCTCGGCCTCCATCTATTCTTTATTCGCAGTCGGAACCTGCGTGACATCACTGACTTGTGGATCTTCTCAATTTCCAGTCTTACCTCAGGAGGATGGAACTTCCCTCTTCGCAATGATCCTCGAACAATTCAAGGATCAACTAGTCATCATTCTCTTGATATCCGCCATCGTCTCGTTTGGATTAGCCATCTTGGAGGAATCGGAGGACAAGGCGACCGCATTTGTCGAACCATTGGTGATCTTATTGATCTTGATCGCCAATGCGACTGTCGGAGTCATACAAGAGACCAATGCCGAGAAAGCGATCGAAGCCTTAATGGATTACGCACCCGATGAAGCAACAGTCACTCGATTTGGGAAGACCTTCAAGGTTCACGCTTCTGATTTAGTGCCCGGAGACGTCATCACTGTCTCCGTCGGTGACAAAGTACCTGCCGATGCCCGGGTCATCTCGATCTCCTCGGCCTCCTTTACCGTCGATCAAGCCGTCCTCACTGGTGAATCTCACAGTGTCACCAAATCAACCGAGACCGTCAACCTGTCGGGTGCCGTCAAGCAAGATATGGTCAACATCTTGTTCAGTGGGACCACGATTGTCAGCGGGAAAGCTCAAGCTGTCGTCGTCGCCACCGGTAGTCGGACTGCGATCGGTGATATCCACGAATCGATCACCAGTCAGATCTCTCAGAAGACCCCATTGAAACAAAAGGTCGATGATTTCAGCGACGTCTTGGCCAAAGTAATCACCGTGATCTGTATCCTCGTCTGGGTTATCAACATCCGTCACTTCAACGACCCCAACCATCATGGCTGGCTGAAAGGCGCGATCTACTACTTCAAGATTGCTGTCGCATTGGCCGTCGCTGCTATCCCCGAGGGTCTCCCAGTGGTCATCACACTCTGTCTCGCCTTGGGCACAACCAAGATGGCCAAGATGAATGCGATCGTCCGATCTCTACCAAGTGTCGAGACTCTGGGATGCACAAACGTCATCTGCTCTGATAAAACTGGAACGCTGACCACCAACCAAATGTCGGTCTCCAAAGTGCGTGTCTCATCCTGCTGCTATCTTTCCGCTTTTGTTTAATGTGCTCGCTCACCTGACATTTATATTGGATTTTTTTTTTTGGTTTGGCTTCAGTTCTTGGTTGTCGAAGGATCACAAATTACCGAGTTTGATGTCAAGGGTACAACATATGCACCTGAGGGTGAGGTCTCGTGAGTAGTAATCCCATCTCTGCCACGATTGTTGCTCTTCCTTAAACTTACTCTTTCTTGAGATCCTCTTTCTGCAGAGATTCCACCGGTCGACGATTAGTGGCTCCTTCTGCAGAATCATCTACGATTGAGATGCTGGCCCGGATATGTGCATTGTGCAATGAGGCACAGGTAGTTGTGAATGAGGTTAGTGGCATTTCTTTTCCAAACAGCCTTTTCCAGTTTAAACTGATGACTATGCTTGTTTTCTTTTTTCTTTCTCTCGATAAAAGTCTACTCGCACTTACACTAACATCGGGGAACCAACTGAGGCCGCCTTGAAAGTCTTAGTAGAAAAGCTACAAACTTCCGACCGAACCTTCAATTCCAAACTTTCTCAATTCGCCTCTGAATCCCGAGTAAGAGCTGTTAACGATCACATCGAGGCTAGATACGAGCGAAAATTGGTGCTTGAATTCAACCGGGATCGAAAGTCCATGTCTGTTCTAGTGACGGACACTCAAACCGGACGAAGCTCTTTGTTTGTCAAAGGAGCCCCCGAATCGGTCTTAGCTCGATGCACACATGTTAGCCAAGGCGGGAACACTGGTGAACGGGTCAGTCTTGACCCTCAAACCCGCAAGAGCTTGGAAGAAAAAGTCAAAGCGTACGCGGAGGAAGGGCTTCGAGTCTTGGCTACTGCAGTTATTGAGGACGTGGATGACAAGGTGGAGCATTACAAGTCAAGCTCATCTGCTGATTACGTCAAGTTTGAACAAAACATGACTTTTGTCGGTCTCACTGGAATGTTGGATCCGCCCCGCCCTGAAGTCAAGGAGGCGATCGCCAAATGCCGCTCGGCGGGAATTAAGGTGATTGTGATCACGGGCGACAACAAGTCGACTGCCGAGACGATCTGCCGACAGATCGGTGTTTTCGATGCCACGGAGGATCTGGCCGAGCAGAGTTACACTGGAAGAGAATTTGATGCTCTCTCAGAAAACGAGAAGCTTCAAGCGGTCTTACGCGCAGGCCTATTCTCACGAGTTGAGCCATCCCACAAGCAGAAGATCGTCGACCTCCTCCAATCAACTGGATTGATTGTGGCCATGACTGGTGACGGTGTGAACGATGCTCCGGCCTTGAAGAAAGCCTCGATCGGAATCGCAATGGGAAGCGGAACGGATGTGGCTAAGTTGGCTGCCGACATGGTCCTCGCCGATGACAACTTTGCGACCATCGAAAAGGCCGTCGAGGAGGGACGTGGGATTTACGAAAACACTAAACAGTTCATTCGTTACCTGATCAGTTCCAATATCGGCGAGGTTGTTTCGATCTTCTTGACCGTCCTAGTCGGGATGCCCGAAGCGTTGATTCCGGTCCAACTCTTATGGGTGTAAGCGCATTTCTTTGTCTCTTGGTTGTCACTATCTCAGACCATTAGGCTTACACATCCTCAACTTGCATTTTCCTCAGGAACCTTGTGACAGACTCTTTGCCCGCACTTGCACTCGGTTTCAATCCCAAGGATCATTTGATCATGTCCAGACCTCCCAGGAGCAGTAAAGAACCCTTGGTTGGAGCTTGGCTGTTCTTCCGTTACTGTGTGATTGGAATGTACGTTGGTTGTGCTACCGTTGGGGCTTACGCATGGTGGTTCATGTACTACGAAGCCGGCCCACAAATCACATTCCATCGATTGGTGAGTAACTCTCACTAAACCCTGTTATGATAAGGTATCTGACGCCATTCAGGATTCGGCTGTTTTGTTTTGTTCTAGACTAACTTCGGTGAATGCGCTACCGTGGCGCTTTGATGGGCTGTAATATGATCGGCGCAGAGTTCCAGAAGAAGGCGACGACGATGTCGTTGTCTGTCTTGGTGCTGATCGAGATGTTCAACGCGATGAACTCGTTGTCGGAGAATGAAAGCTTATTCACCTTACCCTTGTGGACGAATTTGTACCTCTGTGGCGCGATCTCTTTGAGCATGGGATTACACTTCATGATCTTATACGTTCCTTGGCTAGCTGTCAGTGTTTTACATTCTTGAAACTTGGCTTCAATCTCTTCATCAATCGATCACTTACACTTTCTTTTGATTATTTTTATTACTATAGAAATTGTTTGTTATCACTCCCTTGAATGTTGCAGAATGGAAAGCGGTCTTCTGGATCAGTATACCAGTGATCGTGATGGATGAAGTACTCAAATTCATCAGTAACACTTTCTTTTGTGAGTGTTTATTTATTTATTTCTTCTCAATGTCCTCTGCATCTTGATGTCACCTTATTAACAATCTGTCCATGGTTTTCTGTATTGTTTAGCTTTTGAAATCGAATCCTCAGATAAAGAAAAAACGGAGTAGAAGTGAATCAAATTACGTTGGAAACAAGTAGGATAAACAAGTCATCGTCATCATCGTCATCATCATCAGAAAGCAAATTAAAAAAATCTCAATTCTTGTTCATCAAGCTTCATTTTTTTACTTCTCCTTTCTTCTTTGTTTTCTAGTTGCTTTTTCTCATACAAATTAGGTCGATAGAGATAGATTTTTTTTTTCCTTCTTCTTTTGTCAGTAGGTAATCAGTCAGCTTGTTTTTTATTCAACCGTGTCTTGAGTATATATTGTATTTAGTCAAGTGGAACAAAAAAAAAAATCAAATCAAAAGATTTTCTCAAATCTCATTAATTTTTTTTCCTTGTTTCATTCAAGGAAAGAAAAGAAGGGTGAGATTTTCCGCTTTGGTAAGAAAACACTTTTGTAATATTCAGTGACTTGTGTCATTAAACCGAGTTTATAGCTGAGGACATCAGAGAGTATGAAACGGGAAGATGCTAAGAGAAATCATACTTCAATGCAAAGACATCATGCTTCAATGGCACTGACATCTTCCTCAGTGGTTCACCGGGGAGTTGCGAAGTCACCCCTTGGAGCGCAGCGGGCGGTGCTCTGCGGTGCTCGAGCTCCAGATGGGCGGCCCAGCTCGTTTGAGCCGGGTCGAGTTCCGGATATTCGTGGGCCGGTCCTCGAGCAGTGGAAACCAACAACCGATGACCATGATGCTCCCGACTTTCCTCAGGGTCTTGTCAAGACCTCCAGTGAGCCAGCTACGACCCTCGAATCTGACCGTTCATGCGACACGGGCTACTTTCCATTCTTCCTGCATTGCCGAAGGCGGACGCTTAAGGTTTGCGAACGACCACCACTACTACTACCCTTTTTCTACAGTAGGACGATTGTTGACTTTGGCTCGTTTTTCTTTAAAGCAAGATCCCTTGGCGACTGTCGAGTACGAGGAAAGCTAACCTCAGGAAACGACTGCGAGAGGTCGATTCGGTCATCCAAGCCGTACAAGAAAGCGGCGTCCAATGTGAAGCTTTGGTATGAATCACCTATCACCAGCCCCTTCGCCCGTAATACTCTCAATAACCGATCTTAACCTGTTCCGGTTACTTTTTTTTTCTTATTTTCAGACAAAAGCTATGGAGTTGCCGACTGAAGCTGATATGACTCCGAGGGACAAATACTTCGTCTTCTCAGCTCGATCGAAAGGATATCGGAAAGGAATCCACAAAGTGTAAGATCATGGCCATCCCTTGTCGTCCTATCTCGCCTTTTTTTTTGGTCGAGCTGCTGATCACATTCGCATCTTTTATATACATACGCTCAGGCCCCATTTTACAAAGATCACTTCCCGAGTCAACCCGAAGGGATTCTAAGCTTCCTCGTGTATATGTATGCGTGTGGCAACGGATGTCGATCGATTTCAAATCATTATTAAATTCAAAAAGAGTATAGCTGGGCACGTTTGGTCCACATTGTGTAAATTGATAATCGCTAAGTAACAAAAACTATACATACATACCTTGCCTTGCTTTGGTGATCACTTCTAAGAAAACGCAACAGTCCACTGAGAGCTACCTTGGCGGTACTAAAATTTCGATAAACACGTTTCATCTTTTTCTCGCAATTACATACCCATGCAAGTACAGCACAATCAGATTTGTCAATGTAGTCACTGGGTCACTTTTTTTCATAGAGATAATCCTAGGTCATATTCATTTCCAAAGCACCTACTCAGGTTAAAGGGTGGGGTCCATCTGTTCACGACTCCCACACATTTGTACAGAATTTGATGTCTATGGGTTTTGACCTGCTTGAACTTCTTAAGATGCACATACATAGCAGGTCAGTTCAATTGCAGTAGTGAGCGCTGGCGACGTCTGCTGGGTCGCGCGCACAGTGATGCTGCTGACTGATGCGCCGCATGCGAGATCCCAGTCGCGCGACGCGACCTCGGCTGGCCTGTTCCAGTCGCAACTGCTGTGCATACACACAAACAAGTTCAACCTACCACCATCCTCGTGCCCTCATCACTTGCTTATCAGTCTGCCTCACCTGTTCAAGAACTCCACCGAATCCCACACTCTTAGCTCCTCATACGAATCTCACCTGTCGCCACGATGTCCTTGATACCTGCTGCAAATTTCAAGACGAAATATGATTACTCGGCGGATATCGAAGTGATGAAAGACTTTCTCAACAAGACCAAAGGACGTTCAATCTCAGCAAGTGATCTCCTAGACGAGAATGAAGAGGGCGCAGGACTTGATGCTCAGGATGATGATTTCGACGTTGACATGGATGATGAAGATGGTGGCTCTAACCAAAGGTCGATTACACTTCTCAGCAAACGATACTTGATTAACACGCGTCACTGAATCATACTCTTTTTGATGTGAACAAAAAAACATATAAACTCTCTAATCACTTCTCCACATCAGGCTGAGATACGTTGAACAGATGCAACTGGTGGCCGATCGAGAACAATCTAAATTCGTCATTGATCTCGAGGACCTACGTAAATCACGCGACCCGGAGCAACTCCGACTGTTGGAGAACATCTCTCAAAACACCTTGCGATACGTCCAACTGTTTTATCGTGTAATTGACGAACTACTCCCCGAACCAACCGATCCTATCAGTCTCAGAAACAAGTACGACGTCTTGGACGTCATTATGCATCAACGACGCGAGAAGAATCTGATGAATGACGAGGCTGGAGAGGCTACATTCCCCCCAATTCTAACTCGAAGATAGTGCGTTCATCACTTTTTCCTTATGTCTCTATCTTAAAGCGGCTATTTAACTGAATATTTGATGTTTTCTTTCAAGTAATCTTTATTTCCGAGCCCCACGATCATCTACTACTTTGGCGGTTAGACAAGTCAAGGCCGTACATCTGGGCAAATTGATATCCATTCGAGGAATCGTCACGCGAGTCTCAGAAGTCAAGCCATTGCTTCTTGTCAACGCATTCTCCTGTGATGCCTGTGGCTCAGAAATCTTTCAAGAAGTCGAAAGTAGAAACCTGACACCGTTGACTGAATGCCCCTCGGAAGAGTGTGTCAAAAACGGAACCAAGGGAAACCTGGTCATGCAAACTCGGGCTTGTAAATTTGAACCATTTCAAGAAGTTAAACTCCAAGAGATGGTGAGCCTTTTTTTCAAAAAAAAAAAAAAACAGACTATTTTGTTAAACACACTAAATTGTATTATTGAAAACTACAAAACAGGCCGACCAAGTTCCGGTTGGACATATACCCCGTTCGATGACTTTACATCTCTATGGTCCATTGGTCCGATCTAATTCTCCAGGAGATGTCGTGAATGTGACGGGGATATTCATTCCAACGCCTTATCAAGGATTCAAAGGTGTCAGAGCCGGTCTACTAACTGATACCTATCTCGAGTGTCACCACGTTTCACAACTTCGGAAATCGTACGAATCTCTTGAAATTACCCCAGAGATTGTTAGTCAGATCGAAGAGATGGCCAATAACGAGCACAACTTCTACGACCGTCTGGCCAACTCGATTGCCCCTGAAATCTATGGACATCAGGATGTCAAGAAGATCTTGCTTCTCCTCCTCATCGGTGGCGTATCGAAAGAAGTCGGTGATGGGATGAAGATCCGTGGTGATATCAATGTTTGTCTGATGGGTGACCCCGGAGTGGCCAAATCCCAGTTGTTGAAATATATCAGTAAAGTCGCCCCTCGTGGTGTATATACGACCGGTCGAGGATCTTCAGGAGTTGGTCTCACGGCCGCCGTCATGCGGGATCCAGTCACAGACGAGATGGTACTCGGTACGTTGATAAATGCCACTGAAATTTTTGAAGCAAGCGTCGATTTTGACAAATTGTTCTGATTTTCTGATATAGAGGGCGGAGCGCTAGTGTTAGCTGATAACGGGATATGCTGTATTGATGAGTTCGACAAAATGGACGAGTCTGACCGGACAGCGATTCACGAAGTCATGGAACAACAAACTATCTCGATCTCAAAAGCTGGGATCACGACTACCCTCAACGCCCGCACTTCCATTCTGGCCGCCGCCAACCCGTTGTATGGTCGCTACAATCCGAAGATCAGTCCAGTCGATAATATCAACCTACCGGCTGCTTTGCTTAGTAGGTTTGATATTATGTTCTTGATTTTGGACAAGCCCAGACGAGAGGATGATGAAAGACTGGCGCAACATGTGACTCATGTCCACATGCACAGTGCTCATCCCACCATCGACCCTCCACCAATCTCACCATCTCTACTCAGAAGTTACATTGCTCTGGCGCGGAAAAAACGACCCACAGTTCCACAACAAATTTCTGAATACATCATTTCGGCCTATGTCAACCTGCGAAAACATCACCAAAAGGAGGAAGCAAGTGGAAGATCATTTACTTACACCTCGGCGCGAACTTTATTGAGTGTGATCCGGCTTGCCCAAGCCCTTGCCCGAATGCGAAACTCGAACGAGGTAGCGAGGGAAGATGTTGACGAAGGCTTGCGACTGATGGAAGTGTCGAAAGCCAGTTTGGACAACGATCCCGACGATGACATGGAAGTTGGCACCAATCGAGATGTGACAGACATCAGCAAAATCTACCGGATCATTCGCGAAATGACGACCAGTGGGTCTGGCAGAAAAGACCCATCTTCCGCTAGGATCGGTGGGCGGGTCGGCCGTGGGAGACATAATCAAGCGGCCGCTGAGAGCGACGATGAAGGCGGATTCAAACCTATTCAGAATATGCGAGAGATTCGTGAACGGGTGTTTGCGAAAGGATTTACAGAAGAGCGACTGCTTGTGAGTAATGTCCTCGATATGTGCTTATTTGATTGGCACCATTGGATCCTTAAAAGTCGACTAAGGACGGCTTGAACTGACACGATTCTCAACCCATGCTGATTTTCCTCATAGGCTTGTATCAACGAGTACGAACAACTGGATGTCTGGACACGCGAGAATAATGACAGCGAACTCCGATTCTTGGATAACGGAGCTAACTGATCAAGCTCTGCATCCGAGACTTCGTAGCCCCCTCCACCCTCCAAATTCATGATTCGCCTCTCATTTTGATTTTTTTGATTTTTGCGGTTTCTTCCATATCTGTGTTGCGTGGCTGTCCAACTGAGTTTATGTCTTTGACAGCCTCTCTCTTCCTGTGCTTAATCAGCAGCACGCTTGAAAAGTGTTGGAAAGAGATATTCAATTTTCTCTTCTTTTTCTTTTCTGACTTATGTGACCTTCTCCTATGAAATCCTCCTCTTCAAACAAAAGAAGATAAGATAAGAGAATTCACTTGTCTATGTTGTAGTAATCAGTTAATCATCCTGGTGGTTCTAATAACCCAGCTCTTGATCATGTCGAAATCAAGTTTGTATTTGACGGAAATGTATTCGGATTTAGTCGTGCTGACCGTAACTTGTATCCAATCGTTTTTCTTATTTGTGGGTCTGACACACTTGCAGGGTTCTATGAGACATTCATGGTCATGGCTTGAGTCAACTCAACCCTTTTTGGTCCACTTGAAGATACACCCTATCAAACCACAATCTTTAATTCACGTTTCATCACCGCTTATAATCCTATAGTTTTTGGTCAATGAATAACAACATTCAGCTCAACTAACTTTGCTCGGCACTAATTCACAAGTCCCTCATTGTCACGACATTGCCACTTCCATCTACACCATGGAAGTTCGATTGCTTAAGGCTTGGAAATGAAAATGAATTCCAAACAAAGAATATTGGGAGATAAACTCAGCACTCCATGTATTGTGACTTCAACCGAATTATTTCGGCAGCTTATGTACCTCTTGAACCCTGGAAGACCCACCCGACAAGTTTGCAAATTTTAACTCCCAAGCTTATTCCACCGCCAGGTAAACTAACACTTATTCCCAGAATCAAAAACTCAAAATTTTGGAATTCAAGTACAATCAGAACACTTAAAGCATTGTATCTGGACACATACAGTTACCAGGCGACTGGATTCATCTGCTCAAGGAACGCGGCAAATTTTGGTCAGTCATTGGGAATCCATGCCAGGTCATTCTGCATCGAGTTTGATACGGTCTTAAACTAACCCCTTGGTGGGTAATACAAATGTGGCCCTAGAAACTTGTAGAAAGTGAGTGTCTCTTTACTTCCCGACACTCCGTAAGTGTGACCCATCGGCCATTTAGACTCAGCCAACCCAAAACTTACAAGATTTCCTACAGCAGCCAGCGTCTCACAATCTGACTAGAGTTCACTTAAGTGGCACTGGGTTGCACCCGACACTCTTAATCATGTCACATTCACTCTTCAACAAGATATCAGATTTCACTCATTCAGCTATAGTGCTTGTAAACAGATAACCCTTGTTAACAATAGCCTTTGTAAACAGATGTGGAACCTTTGTGAACAGATAACGATTTTAGACAGATAACCATTGTAAGAAAAACAACCATTCTAAACATTTAACCCTTATCATAATCTAGATAGATAGATAAATATAATAAATCGGAGTCACCAATTCAGCTAGTTTTTTTTTTCTTCTTCTTTTGAGTGGTTTTGATCTTTTTTTGTTCTTGTTTTTGGTTTTATTTCATTGAGAAAAAAAAAGGAAAAATTAGATGAGAAGGAGGGAAAGACTACGACGCGTATGTATGTAATCTATTTGAAAGAAGGGTGTCTTGTTTTGATTATTGATATCTGACAATATAGCACTATAACCTTTTTGTTATGAAACAAGATATTTGTGATCATCAAGGAAATACGCTCGATGATATCTGGAGTGAAATTAAGGAGGCTTCCAATAGATTTAGGCGGCAGCGGCAGCCGTGGGGGCAGTCGCAACCTTGGGTTGACTGGGTGGAAGTTGAGCTTGTCTGGAGTTGGTGATGGGAGTTTTCGCAGGTGAAATTTGGTGTGTGGCTGGTTCATGGTGGACAAGGAAGTAGTTGACCGGGATAGCGTCTGGATGACCTCCGATGTTGGTTCCCTTCAAGGCGGATTCGACTTCTTCAGCGGAAAGATACTTCATCTCTCCCAAGTTAACGTTGTATGGTAAATGGGTTTTCATGTGGGCTACCGCTTTGCTGATTTCCTCCATAATCTCTTGGTGCTTTTTGCTGTTTTTGAACTTCTGGGCCAGGATTTCAATCCGATTAAGAATTTTCTCATCGCCGGCTGGGGTCATTTGGCTCTTTTGGAATTCTAGTACAACATCTTGCAATCCGTTCTCCAAGCTCTTTTTCGCTAAGGTGGCATGAGTGTTCCACACTTCAGGACCCATGTGGTTTGCCACGTCGCGGGTACGAGAGTAAAATGAATTTCGGTAAATTTGCAATCGTGATTCCTTTGTTTCTTTCGGGAGGTCCTGCATAATGGTACGATAATATCCAAGCAGACTCCCCGCCATCAATGAGCTGAAGGCAGTTTGGGGTTCACTGCTGAGATAATGGAGTGAGTCGGTGGTCTCTGCGAGACCTGCCGCGATCTGATGAGAATACAAATAAGGACTTTGTTGAATGGCAGCTTTTTCCGTTTCCTTGAGGTCAGGGGCAGCTCCCAAAACCTCGTGAGGTGTCGTCACCAATCTGACGATTGGCTCGAGCGGGTCGCTCACAGTGGGAATACTTCTAGCATGCGCTTGTGAGAGGCAAATGCTCAAGATAGTGACAAGCTGGCGGGCGTGCATGATGCTAAACTAAGCTATGTTGTGATAAAGAATGAACTGATAATCTAAGAGTGTTATGAAGTTTGTAGGGTGTCAAGTGGTATTTATCTAATTATTGGTATCGGGATTGGGAATGAATTCAAGAGCCCTGGGGGGTGCTCCTAGATCGAAGGTTAAGGGGTATTTATAGCTTTTGGCCAGGTGGAAGTCAGCCACTGCTTTCACTATCCACCTCACGTGAGGCGACTTCTCTGCCGGCATACTTGGACCAGATTGTCTGATCGACTACGCATGTTTCACTTCTTGAGCTTCCCCACTAAGCCATCAGACTAGGCATTCTCAAAGACGAGCTATACGGCAATGGCACTAGCAGCCTCGGCCTGTATGGAACTCATACCCTAAAGGATGCTCAAGTGCCAGTTTTTGCATCTTGATCTGTGACGATGCCCTACTACAGTTACAGTCAAACCTGTCTAAGGGCATACCTTTCTGTGTGCATAACCTGCATAAGGGAATAGTGAAGGGCTTCTCCCAAAACTTGATTTTGCTGCAAATTCCCTCTCTCTAAGGGCATAACCTGTTTACAGGCATACACAAATCCTTCTCCCAAGGGGTATGCCCTTAGACAGGTTTGACTGTAACTCGATCATGAAGCGTCTAGACTCTGCGTCAGTTACATCACCAGAAGGGGCGGAGGCAGATGTTTACTAGATGGAAATTGATACAAAATATTGGACATGGGGGGAGTAGCACAGCCACCCTACCACCATATCTGCAGTCAATCAGCTTGTGAAAAATGCATAATGTTGTAGCGTTCCAGCCATTCCCTCCACGTCAAAAGGAAGAGGGTTCGATGGGGCATTGTCTGAAATCAGCTTAGAATTCCATATCTGCAGTCAATCAGCTTGTGGAAAATGCATAATGTTGGTGTGTTCCAAACATTTTCTCCACGTCAAAAGGAAGAGGGTTCGATGAGGAACGGTCTGAGACCAACTTACAATTCCATATCTGCGTCCACGTGGCACTTACGAAACAAGTTGGAGGAATCGGTGAAAAATTCGAGAAAGTTCAAGGAATCTGATAAGTTGATCGGGTTCGGCCCACAGTTCGGAGTGTCAATTGCGTTCATACGACTCGGAGAAAGGAAAAACTCATACTGCATATCTCAACATGACGATGATAAGAGGGGCTAGGTGGGAATCACCCCAGTGTAACGGGGTTCGTTTTGCTGGTGTGTCGAATGCGGTAAGATCATCATGTTTTGAGGGGGAGATCGAGCGACCGGACATCATGACATGGAGCCATGGACTGCGAAAGCCAAGAGCGGGTCGGAACATGCAAGTCAGGGTCGATAATGCAGAACGACGTAGAAAGTTCTTTAATGTTAAAAATTTTGACTTTGCCCTTGCTTGATCGATTCCCCCGATCATGTTTCATCGGCCTAAAGACATCCCCACTTTCTCTTGGGACTGCACGTAACGAACTCCCATGCTGATGATGGACAGAAAACTTTGTAGAGTTTTAATTGTGGCCAAGCGAAAACAGATATTGCGGACTGTCAAGAATTTAGTAAGAGCTATATGTTTGTCCATAGTGTCAGTGAAGAAGACTTTCGCCGAAGCGAACACCAACTCCGGCCGACATTCGGTTTTTCGACCTGTCCCAACGATTTTTCCGTCTCATCCGGGTCCCCTAGAGTCTCGCCTAACCTTGAGTGCAGCAGGCCTCAATAGGAGTCAGACACACCCTAATCCCCTGCAAGAAGATGTGGAAATACTGGCCCAACAAGTCAGAGTTGGATATAGCACTGCCTCCTAGGGCTTGACGTGTAGTACTTCATGAATCAATGCTGCTTGACTGTGACATGCCAGTGCGAGGAAACTTGTTGTGTGGAAGCAGATAGTAGGGCCACTTGATGCAAACACTGTCAACATCACTCTCTTTCCCTAAGAATAAAATTGCTTTGGCCAGGCCGAAAGAAATGGCCCAGATCCAAATTATGGTCTTTTTTAAGCAGTTTAAAACCCTGCTAGACGCGAGAGAACAATGTCAAGGGTAGTCTCTATCGTGACTACCACCGAATGAGATAGAGATGACAGTGAACACTTGCTAGGATTTGTAATTGATGAGAGAAGTAAAAATAACAACGATGATTTTTCGATGTCAAATAGCAAGGGAGGAAATAACAAGTATCTGAACATGAGCAAGGACGAAAGAGCAGAATACATGGAGAAAGGGGAGCGAGGGTAGACGAGGAAAGACAGTCGACTATACTATAGGCCCTAGTCACCGCACTACTCCTCGGCTTCTGAGTACGGTAAGGGCACAGACTTGATAGCTGGTAAGTAATAATCATGTTCCTTCCTGGGGATCTCTCGCATCGAGTATCCCTCTACTCATATGATATTTCGTGCTCTCATATACCTCTTAGGATGGTAACTTATTATTCAATTTTCAACCTCGTGGTATGCTTAGATATATGATCATGGACTCGTCTGTGCCTTCTACATGATCGACCTCTACATGCTCCAGGTCGACAACAGACCGTGACAAGCTCAGCTATTTTTTTTCTTTTGTCCCACAGATTTTGGAACCCATGTTTGATTTTAAATTTTTTAGAAAGAGAAGAATATACGCAATCTTAGATAATATGAATGGCAATGGCAAGCAGGCTGTGTATAATGTGAGATATAAGAGCTTGTGTTTTCTCCTGTGTGCAGATATGGAACAAGTTATTTGATTAAAGCTATGTACAACTTTTTGTGAGAATATGACATGGATTCTTTTAAATTCCGGGACTTGAATGAAGAAAGAGTCGACCCATGTTTGGCTTAAGCAGCAGTCACAGCGGGACTGGCAGGGTGGTTCTGCTGCATGCGAGCTACGTTTCGTAATTCGGAACTGAGCATCTTCTTGGCGAGCTCGCCGTTGATGGGCAGTGCATCCGGAACGCCTGCGATATTGGTTTCTTCCAACTGCTGGTTGATTTGTTTCCGAGTGAGCTTGTGGAACTCCATGGGCGGTGTCGACGTAACCGACTTGGCCAAATCGCCTTGGATCTCTTCGAGGATTTTTTGAGGACTGGTTTGAGCAGAATGATGACCCCCAGCGTTTGCGTTCAGTAAGTTGAGTAGTCGGTTGTGGGTGTCCTGCAGGGTGTCTGCATTAAATTTTTCGGTGTTCTGATTGGCTAGACGGTGCAACTCGGAGTACAAGGCGTCCTGGTATATTTGCAATCGCCTGGCCTTCACTTTGGGGTGATTATCTAACTCTTTGGTGGCAAGAGTCTTTCGGTATCCAAAGAAACTGTCGAGGATATAAGGTGTGTGCTTGTCGTTGGCCTGGAGGATTGGGCTGACGGTATCGATAAGATCGTTGTGAAACTTGGCATGATTCAAATCATGCTGTTGGTGAAGGCTATCCGCAATTCTCGAGAACCCAGGGGAGTTTTCGAGGGCGGCATCAGGCTGCGTAACTAATGTAACAAAGGACTTAATCGCCTCATCGACTGGTGGAACCGCAATGGCACGTATTTGTGATAGGCAAAGGCCCAAAACCGTAACGATTTGGCAAGCATGCATGGTGGCAGATTATGTATATACGGCGTAAAGTAGAAAGGCGAACTGGATTTGATTCAATAAAAGGATGGTCCTAAGAGGTATCAAATGCTATGAGCTTAGAATTTGTTTAGTGGCTGGCCGAGGATAGACTGCTAGGTGGCGGGGATTTATAGCTGTGTGAGCTTGGTGGGACTCGGAGTTGACTGCAACACCCTCACGTTGGGGAGATACGTTCTGCAGCAATACTGGGAGCGGATTGTAGTATCATCTGCAGTTGTTTCACTTCAGCAGTCCTCTACCCACCAGTGTATCAGACCTGATGGTGATTCACATTACTTGAGACCCGCTCAGACCTGCTCGAAATAGGTGTGGTGCAAGACTCGACTTGTCTCAGTCTTGTCTCGAAATCATACCAAGAATCATCCACGGCGGATCATTTTCCCATTGCCTCCAGCCAACTCATACAGATGTGCCCGGACAGCCGCGTGTCGGATGGATTTGCAGGCATAGATATACCTGACCGGTCCCGCACTCAAGGTGCGGCGGCGTGTCCTGCCCGGCAATCCTACAGCCGGGAGGACGCGGCTGGCGTAGCTGGCGTTGCATCGGACCCACTATACTTAGGACCTCCAAAATCGATAGAGATATACACCCTTGCTGAAAGCCCGCCCGTTTGAGCTGATATGCGAGGGGTATGCTGGGGTATGTATACCGAGAAGGGAGAAACGAAACCGACTTTTCTGACACACATGAAACAGTCTCCTCACCTCGTCTCAACTTCCGCGGGGACCTCTGGAGAGTTGGGTCGGACAATGTGAAGAATCTGACACGCAAGATGATCCTGAGGGGCAAAAAACGCGTGTCACTGCTTGGCTCCTCTCTTTACCCGTTATGTGATGGAGCAACAAAAGCTCCACCAGTGAACCCGACTGTTTGGCATACTGATTACTACAGAGCACATCAAGAAAGATTTCTTCAGGGGTCCCGAGTGGTCGCACACAGGAATCAACCAAATGTCTCAGGGCCAGTACCATGGGATTCAATTTTGAAAAATGGGCATTTTTTCTGCCTTCTACACAAAATTTGACACAAAGTGGAGAGATTTCAAAATGAGAGTCTTCACTTTTATGCTACTGACTGGCTTCTGGTTATGTTCAATTCTGATGAAACAATAATTTGAGTAAAGGTTTTAGCAGCTTTTTTTTATGTGAAAGCAGCTGGCAGCAGAGCAAGTTGAGTGTGCACGATTAAAATCGGCCCGTGGCTCTGGCGATTTTGTTAAGATTTTTGAAAGCAGCAAGCAGGCATTTTTATCCAAATTCCACAAGATTTTATTCCGATTCGGACCGTCCTAAGTTGAGTAAAGGTTTTAGCAACTTTTTTTATGTGAAACCAACTGGCAGCAGACCAAGTTGAGTTTGCACAATTAAAATTGGCCCGCGCCTCTGCCAATTTGTTAAGATTTTTGAAACCAGCAAGCAGGCATTTTATCCAAAATCAACAAGATTTTATTCAAATACAAACTGTCCTGTTGTGGGCATGATCTAACCTAACTAATTCCCTTCCCCCCGGTCAGAGTGGTAAAGCACTGGTTGCATTGTGCCAAGAAGAAGGAGGCAGAGGGATGTTCCTGCTGGACAGTGTCCCCCCTCCAGTAGAGGGACATAGTTGAGTTGGGTGCATGATTATAAGGGTATGTATCACACAGCATTTTTGTGGGGTCTTTCCTCCACAAGTTTGCCAAAGCTTGACCCTTCTCCCCTTTATAAGGGTGGCCCTTATTACAGGCTTTGACAGTTCTTCTATGAGGGTATCTGTCGGACTTGGGATACTTCAAAGTGGCAGAGGTAGTATCTACAGTTATAGATTTAAGATTGACAATGAAATGAAGTTAAATAAGATTAATATGAGGGTGAATCTCTTACAAGGACATGCTCAGAGATTCTTGATGAGGCTTACGTGTTTCTTCCTGAAGCAGTGAGCCGGGGCAAACAATCTCGAGGTACCTGAGACTTTCAAAAAGTTAACACTTCAAGTTAATAGGTGGTGAAACAGATGATTCAGAATGGTTGTATCAGTTGTAATGAGAGTGTAAGGGGTTTGTAATTTATGAGGGGATGAATAGTAAAGTTTATACTAAAGAGTTAAAAGATGATAAGTACTTGGGCTGTCCAAAATAGGTAGTGAATGCCTTTACTGGAGGTAAGTGTGAACAAGTGCTATTCCTAGGTTTTCTTAGTCTAGTATTGGTAGTCTTAGTCTTTATTATAAATCACATTGGAGAAATATATAGAACCATCATTCATTGTTATCTTTTCTCTTTAAGTACAGTGGGTGGACCGTTGTTTTTGGCTGCTTGTTTTGGATCCCAGAGCTTCAAAGCACCAGATTGAAGTCATGAGACTTGGTCAAGTGGTGCAGAATAGGTCGCAAAAAATGAATATGAAAAAATAAAAACAAAAAACAAAGTTTCAAATTTTGTGAAAAATAAAAAATAAAATTGATTTTTTTCAAAAGCTTTGATATTCATTTTGGGGAAGTGTGAGTGCAGAGAGAAAGAAAGAATGGAAAGTGGGAAGAATGATTATGAATGAAAATTTTGGAAAAAGTGGTTACCAGATAGTTTTAACCAGTTGTTGAGTGGGGCATTCACCAGCTCACATTGCAGTAAAGCACTAGAATTTACTGTTTCGACTCCAATCTGGACAACCAACCTGGCTCAACCTTTTTTGGTTCCAATTTTTTTCATTTATAATCATTCTTGCCATGTTCCACTCTTTGTTTCTCTCAGCAATCCCACTTCCCCAAAATGAATAACAAAGCTTTTGGAAAAAAACATTTTTATTTTTTATTTTTCACAAAATTCAAAACTTTTTTTTTTTTTTTTCAAATTCATTTTCTGGGACCTATTTTGCACCACTTCACCAAGTCTTGTGACTCAAAGTTTGTGCTTTGAAGCTGTAGAATCCAAAACAAGCAGCCAAAAATAACGGTCCACCCACTGTACATTTCTAATGTTGGCCAGTTGGTGGTCATGTATTTTGTTGGGGATAAGGAATGCTATGGAACTAGTAAATGCCTTGTCCAAAAATTGGGATAGGCTTCACATTATTTTCTGCTGCAACACAGCATTTGAATTAGTCAATATTGTCTTTGTGCTGTCAATTACATGTGCACTGTTTTTAACATTTTCTACATTTCAACTCTTACTTATTTCTTTCATGAAGGGATTAATTTAGGACCTAGGTAGACCCTTGACAGTGGAGGACTTCTCATCAACCAGATGGCTTAATTTAGACAACCCAGCTAAACTTTGATTGCTGGTGAAATCTCAAGGTCAAACAATTTTCACCAGCCAATAAGGTTTAGACCTACCTTGTAAATTTACAAGTTTAGACAATGGGAAGTCCTCCAGTATATTTACTGAATTTTGTGCTATTTTTTTCTTGATTTTCTTTTTCTTTTCTTGATTGTAGTTTTTTATGCCTATTTTCTCATCTTTGTGATTGCTTTCTGGTCTCAAGTGCTGCAAATATACAAGCAAACTAAGTTAGAAATCCATTGCTGGGGATGAAAGGGGTGGTATTCATAGACAAGAGGGGGGAAGGACCAGGTCATGCCCCTATTGAACCAGCTCATGTAAATCTGGGTAAAAAAAACTTTTTCTACCAGGTATAATTGGTATTTAGGCGGAATATCCTGTTTCAGATACCATTTTCATGAGTATTTTGACCAGAAAAAACGTGCCTACCCTCCAAATTGCTGGCTTTTTTTCCAATTTTCCCCACTTCTAAAAGTTTTCAGTCCTTTTTTTTGGATGCATAACACCTTTTTTTCCCTGTTTGCTCTCAATTCAGAAAAATTTGCTACTGTTAACATGAGCAATGTTGTAACTGATGTGATGCATGCATAGTCATTACATCACATTGTGGGAGCAATGGGGGGCACCACATTGCATTGTTTGCATCAAATTTTTTGATACCAAGCATAGGCATTGCAGTGATTCAGTGATGCAGTGTAATTTTGCAGCATCCATTTGCATTGCTTTCCAATACAATGCTGATGCAATGCATCAGTTTTTGATGTGATGCATTGGTATCAAATTAACATGCATAATTAAAACAATGTGATGCCAATACAGGGCTATTTATCACATCAAATTACATTGTTTCACCATTTACATGAAGAAATCACAAAAAAATTATTAAATTGCTACAAGATTTCAATTTTTCATAAGTATCTTTTTTTTTAACAAAAAAAAATTGGTTTTGCTACCAGTTACATGAGCCAGCTCAATAAGGGCTTGCAGGGATCTTATTAATGAGCACTCAAGCAGGGTGGAGAAGATATACAAGAGGGTGGTGGTAACTCCCATTGGATGGGATATTGGGACTTAATGGCAAAAGAGGTTTGTCACACTAGTAATATTCCATCCCAAATTTAGTAATGTAATCTGCATGGTTAAATAAACAAGACAAAGAGAATAAAATAATATAAGGCCACAAATAAAAGTACAACCACAAAGGATTCATTAGATGGAAAGAATCCCTTCTGGTCAATGAGATCTTTGCAACTTATTGACTGGAAGGAATCCCCTCTGTTCAATCAGTTCTTTGCACCTCATAAACCAGAACTTGAAGGTATTCCTTCTGGTCAATGAGGTCTTAACACTTCATTGATTGGAAGGGCTTTGTTCCAATCAATGGAGGCTTTACACCTCATCAACCGGAAGGGACTACTTCCAGTCAATGAGTTTGTTGTACCTCACTGAACAAGAGGAACTTGTCAAAACCAAGGATACTGGGTGGAGGAGCTCTATTTGCTTCTTCATATATATCTGACACAACCATTTTCCAAATTTTCAGCAGAAACCAGTGCCAGAATACAAATTTTCATTTGTACCTTGTAATATTGGCAATCAATTTTTTAAGAGCTATAACATCCACAATATGATCAATGATTCAGAGCTTTCCCAGCATCCAAATGTCACATTAGAAATGTTGAGGCTGCTTACCAATTTCATCTCATTTGAACATATGAAACCGTGAGGCCCAACAGCCCAAATATATAACATTGCACTTGTCTGCTCTTGAAACATTAAGGAAAATTTCCTCTTCACTAATTTTCACAATCCATGTTGCATGGAAATCTGCTTGGAAATGGACATCCCTGGTTATTGAACAAGAGGTCTGCAAATGGAAAATATGGGCATTAATCTATGAGATATATAAATAAAACTGGGATTAGGTCTTGAAATTAGTCCAAAATAATTCTTGTCCACTAAAATTGTTTTAATCCTGGAAACAAAATTTAGTTACAGATAACTGATGGCTTAAATCAACAGTGGACCACTACATTACACTACACTACAGGGACACTTAGAGTTAGTGTAGCAGTGCTAAAGGTTTTTTGTGTAGTGGTAGCACACTGTTATGCTGCATTACTTTGTAGCAGCACTGAGAGTTGCTTTTTTTCTGTTTAGTTTTAGTGCGCCACTACACCACAGGTTTGGTGCAACTGGGGGCTGATGTGAGACCCAATGTTGAGCCGACCCTGCCAACTCCCCCTTGATTGGTTGGTGTGTTTCTATGCAGAAGGTGTTGGGAGCTGCCATTGGCTCAACCAACCCACGAGGGCACTACATGGGACACCCGTTGTTGGCTATCTTCTAACGCCAGGCTACCGTGCGTCCCTGCTGTTGGGATAGGTGCCATCACTGAGCTTATTTTGGCCCTTGGGTCAATCCTCAGTGCCACACGTGAGACCACTTCCAATGGCTTCCTGTCGGTTGTTGGTAGAGATGGCTCCGTCGCATCCGGTTATCCGTGCAGATGCTGATATCCGCTCACAATTTCCGCGGAATTAGACATCCACATCCGCTGGCGCTGGTGGGTATCCGTGCGGATATCCTCCCCTTAAGTGACCCCTAGGGTGAAAGATGAATGTTCCTTGGGGAAATTTCAGATTGCGAGAGCTGCATAAACAGCAATTTTGAAGTCCTTGCAGCCTGCAAGCCTTCAATTTTTTTTTTTCTTTTTTTAATTAATTTTTTACCACTTATTTTTCATGTTTTTTTTTTTTTGAAATTTTGAATTTATTTCCTAGGTTTTAAAATGCGTAGAATTGTGTGGTAATATTAAATTTCTTTAAAAATCAAAGGATCACTTTGAAAATTCCAATCAAGCACATTTTTTCAATTAATTTCTTACAGCTTATTTCTGAATATGTTCTGACATTTTAAATTTTTTTCTCCTACACTTTAAGATATGTAAAAAATTATGATAATAATTATTTTACATCAAAATGAAAATTAATTCTTGAATATTATATTTGGCATGTTTTTTAACTAATTCTTACAGGCCTGATTCCCATTTGTTGAGGTGGACCAGGTTGAAGGGGAACTGAAAGTCACAGACGCTGAGTCTTGTGACAGTGACTGGACACAAAAGATAAATGTAGTTATGATTCAGTGAGGAAGCCAGCTTGGATGAAAGACAGTCGTGACTATATACAAGCTACGTTTTGGTAGAAGCATACAGACTACATACTGGATATAAGCATATCCAACACACCCCCTCGCTGAGAACAAAACTAATAGTTGTAAGTGGTAGAGATAAAAAAATTCTATTTGGGGCCTCTAGTAAAAAAATCTCATTCAGGGAACAGAAAAATAAAGATTTAACCAGGCCAGAGATTCTACGTAGATAGGGAGTAGGGAGAGGCCACGACAGCCACTGTGCTCAACACAAACCGACAATAGAAATTAACCATAAGTTTGCACCGGATTGTGCGCCCTAAGAAAATAAAGTGCGCCGACCTCCTGTCCCATCAACCCCAGACATCTATTTCCTTGTCAAAGCTGTCATCTTTGTCATTGTTTGAGTCGTAACCTCCTAGTTGAACAACGGAGGTGGCACCCGCGCGGGCTTTGACCAACCGTGCTGAGGCCTTGAGTTGCTTCTTCTTGTTTGGACAATTGGCCGAGTGATGACCTTTCTCACCGCACGTGTAGCATTGTGGTCGTCCTTTGGTTTTTGCTACGGCCGCAGTAGTTGGTAGATGGTCAGAGTGGTCCAGCGAGGTAGTCGTTGAGATCTCATGAGCTTCAATTGCTCCAACAGCGTCGTCGAGTGAAACTTTGTTAGGGGAATAGACAAGATGATCTCTGATTGTTTTCCACGAGTCGTCGAGGCCGCGAACCAGTCTGTCACAGATCTGTTGATCAGACGGAGTGGACTTTACGCTAGCCAGATCCGAGGCTGCCATGCGAATCCGAGCGATCCATTTTGCGATTGGCTGATTTGGGTCATGTCTAGCTGTCCAAAATGCGTCCTGAAGCTGAATTTGCCTAGCTTGGGTGTTCTTCTCATAAGCGTCACAGATGGTGGAGAAAAGTTTACTTGCGGGTTTTACCGATGTGGTAAGCCAATCCTGAAAATCCAACCACAGCAAGAATACAAATCACACAGGAATCACAGGATCAAGGCACCCTCAAACAAATCAAGACACCACTCATGAATCCCTCAAGCACAGACCACATGGATAATCATATTTTCCAGCCAGAAACTCCCCACCCTTGAAACTCACTCCCTCCAAACATATTCCATTCTTCTTTCTCCTTGTGTCTCACACTAGTAACAATCCCCTTGCCCATGAAACAGTTATTTCCTCCTATCTCCTTCCATGGAATATTTTTTCTCCTTATTTGCTTCATACTAGTAACCTTGTGAGCATTTGCCCACTGCCTATTTCCCCTGTTTCTATGGATAAACATATTTTCCCTTGTTTCATGCTCTCATAGAATGTTCCATTTATATTCCAACCACAAGCTGGCCACTCCCCAGAATTTTGTATATAAGGAGCTTTGTTTTCCCTCTTCATTTGTCCCTTATCAGATCCTGCCCCAGCAATTCAGATAACTGATCACCCATTATTAGCCAGGTATTTGCCCATCAACATTTGGGATACCTTGATTTGTGAACAAGTATATTTAGACTAGTAAACATAAGACATATTAGACATAACATCCTCAAGAAATCTCCAAAGCCACACCTTTCCTTAAGAGTCCATACTCTTATATTTTCTTGTTATCAGAGAGGCAGCCCATTGAAGCACTCATCCCTCTCAAGCTCTATTCCTCCCAAGAGTAGTTCCACACCAATTCATAGCAAATGGCAAGGTCGGATGATAATGTCATTTGAATCGTTGAGCATGCCATATCGGACAGGGCATCCCAGTCCACACCATATTCTTTGGGATTGTATCCACGTTGCTCCGGCAATTGGAGGGCATATTTATCCTTTGAATCACTGTTGTTTGGGCGAGGTAGGCTTTTGTTGACAATATCGAGAACACCTTGAAGTTGGAGGACATTTTGGAGCCAATTTCGCCATGATGGAAACGTGACCAAGTTGCTGTCTAGAGACGGAACTGTTTAAATTAGAGCTGAAGGGTTGTTCATTTGTTGAATAGGCATCTTGTGAGTATTTTCAATGGAGATGTTTAGGATAGCCGGGGTGATTGATAACCAAAATCAAAATGGGAGCGATAGCAACAATGGGTCTGATAACCTGTTGAGGTGGACCAGGTTGAAGGGGAACTGAAAGTCACAGACGCTGATTCTTGTGACAGTGACTGGACACAAAAGATAAATGTAGTTATGATTCAGTGAGGAAGCTAGCTTGGATGAAAGACAGTCGTGACTATATACAAGCTACATTTTGGTAGAAGCATACAGACTACATACTGGATATAAGCATATCCAACACCATTATTTGTTGGAATTTTACATTTATTTCCTGCATTTTGAAAGGTTTGAAAATTGATGGTTATATCAGTTTTGCATACAAATAAAATTGGTATACAGCACAAATTATGCAAGAAACGAGGTAAATCATATATTAAGGTTGAAGCTTTGGTTTTTGGGTAAAATGAATAATACCATAAGACTTGAATCCTCTCAAAATGTAGGAAATGAATTTAAAATCCCAAAAAATAATGAAAATTAGGCCTATAAGAATTAATTAAAATTACATGCCAAATACAATATTCAAGAATTAATTTTCATTTTGATACAAAATGATTATCACCATAATTTTTCACATGTCTTAAATTGTAGGAAGAAAAAATTAAAATATCAAAAATTATTGAGAAATAAGCTGTAAGAAATTAATTGAAAAAATATGTTTGATTGAAATTTTCAAAGTGATCCTTTGATTTTTAAAGAAATTGAATATTACCACAAGCTTCTACGCATCTTAAAAACTAGGAAATAAAGCTAAAATTTCAAAAAAAAAAAACATGAAAAAGAAGTGGTAAAAAATTAATTAAAAAAACACGCCCAAACGCGGAATCTACAGGTGCAGCGCGCAGCAAAAACTGTGTTTTTTATTAAGGCCCTTATTTTATCTTATTTTATTTTAGGGCCTTAATAAAAAAACCCGCATTTTCCGCGTTTTGACGCAGTTTCTGCTGCGCGCAGCAC